TTTCTTCTTTCAACAGGAAGCTCACTCTGGGACTGAAAGCACCCGCCCTCTTCAGTCTTGTCAAGAAGCTCACAATACCATCTAAGACATCGCATACGTACCTTTCTTGGATTGACAGTGTGTTGAAGATTTTCTTTTGTTTCATGTCATGAAGATATTCTGTTCACTGAGATTTAATCAAAGCTATAGCAAATTCAAATTCACAGGAGAAAATGCACTCTCCTCCTTCTGTTTAGTCTCTCTAGTTGTATTCAGCAGTTCAGGATGTCATTTTCTAGGCGTTAAATTCCGAATTGGTTGTTAAATTCTGCTCACAGAGCGAAATACATGAAATGAAAACACCCTCCATCCTACATTATGATATGTGTGCTGTAAATGGCTGATTTCCTGGAATAAAAAGCATCTTCATGTCCTCCCTAAGTCTTCTTAGGGTTTTCTCTGCTCATGTCAAGCAGTTGCTAAATGTGGGGAATAAAACCCTGCAGCATTTCTCCTGTAATCAGAGACTATTTGACCTTAGTCAGCTTAAGCTGTCCTCTTGGAGAGAGAGAGGAAGAGACAGAGCAAGACAGAGAGAGATCTTCATTTTGAGGTCATCTTTCTACTGTTCCGCCTGCTAATGATATGATTACTGATGCTTTTTCTCTCAGTTATCCATGCTTTGATTGCATCCTTTAGGCTTGCCTCTGTGCCACACAGTGATTGGAGGCCACTGCTGAATATTTTACTGCTGTGATCTGAAGTCTTAGAGGATCTTTAAATGTGCTACGTATCAGAAGGACAGTGTTGATTTTTGGCAGTTGGAAATTTAGTCTTCTGTCATTGTGATGCCATATTGTCTCAGTGAAGGTTTAAATTCAGTATTTAAAGGGAAATTTCACTCATTTTTCTGCTTGATTCAGTTGCTGAGATATAAACAAAGTCTTTTAGAGTGCTTTGATGTGAAAAGGTTCATTGTAGAGAAACATACCCACTCAGATTTCTTTACAGTGGTGGTGATAGGAACCAGGGATCCTAATATCTACAGCTCAAATATAGCTTATATTTTATTTACCATCCAAAACCACCTGTTAAACTACACATGTTCTGAGTTTTAATATATAATGTAAATGATGGTAATATAGTGTTAAATCTGAAAAATAAGTTTTCTTTTGCCTCACAACACTCTTCATGTATCTGCCATAAATGGATTAGAAATTTGTTGGTAAATATATATATATATATATATATATATATATATATATATAGAGAGAGAGAGAGAGAGAGAGAGAGAGAGAGATAGATAGATAGATAGATAGATAGATAGATATTAGCCACTTAAATATGATTAACTGAGCAATAAGCATTATGCACCACAAAGTAGTGAGATAACTACTTAATCGTTTGAAACGGGATGTAGACCAGTCAATCATAATTATTATGAACTGATTTTATGCAACTAATTAAATGCTTAATACTTCAAGTTATATAATTTGTGGAGCTCTCAGGAGTCCAAGAGAGCACAACTGGCCTCGGTCTTATGCGGGGGTACTCTCTCTCCCCCATCAGTCAGCATCATGCTAGCCAGTGTGGTGTCTGTTGACTAGCTTAACCATTCTGGCAGTTGGCACTGAACTCCAAGCACATTGAGGTCTTAAATGACGTTGATGTTAGCATTAGTTTGAAAAGATGACTCAAAGGAAGCAAGTGCATGGTAGCATGGTGTGAATGAGGGGGGCCTTGGTGTTGGTAGCAAACTGTAATAAATTTTTATGTTTATACAATTCCAAATAGTGATTAATTATCGCATGTCACTAAGGAAGCGGTTGATAATTTATCATGATAATAAATTAAATAGTAAAATTAAATTGCAATAATTTAGCATTTATTAATACATAATTAACTATTACTTTATGTAGTAGCTTTCTAGGAGCTTATAGAGGCTGTTCAGATGTCTGATTCTTATTATCTCCACTGTAAATTCTGAATATGCAATTGTCAGCAACACACTGCTACACTCTGACATAACCATGCCAAAAACATGTCAAATCAGATGTCATATGCTGTCGTCATGACAAATTTGGTGCAGTCATATAACAGTGTCATGTTACCGTTACTGGTAACTGTCGTGACAGATGTCCTAATGCTTGATGTCATGACAGCAAAAATTTGCATGTGGCATCTGTCATGACACTGACTGGTAATGGTAACATGGCACTGTTGTATTACTAAACAAAATCTGTCAAGACATCATATTGCATCTGCAATGACATGCTTTTGGCATGGTTATGTGTAAGTTATGTTGCAGGGTTCAAGTAAAGTTTCTCTTGAATAGTGCATTTTACATCTAATGACAGGTGACAGGTGACTCTGAATGACAGGTTAGATCTTAATGGTTGATTTATACAGCAATTCCTGTTTAAGTTCATGTGAAGTGCTTTGAAGCTGTTACTCTTTAAAAGTGATCGACTCTGGGCTGAATGTTCACTACAACATCATGACCATTTATCAGCTGCCTTCCACACACTTAGAAAGCTTGGCTTGCATTTTACAGGCCCTCATTTAATGTTCTATAAAGCCATATCTGATTCTGTTGGTTGCAGACTAAGCAAGTGTCGTAGAACCAGTGATGGGGAAGAGGAGCATGGTTTTCAGCGCAAATCATAGATCATGTGACTGACTCTGCTCTCATTATTTCACATCAGTTACGATCTCTCTAGGTCTTGGCCTGCTGGATTTGTTGGATCAGATCAGGGAGCTATAAAACCCAACGTATTCTGAGGCTCTGAAGGACCATGACCACCTCATGCTATAGTGTTTGGTTGTTATGACCAAAGATTGAACAAAATGACTATTGATGCTTCATAATTACAGCCAGTGACCTTAGAGTCAAACAGATGCGATTTCATTCAATTCCAGCTATGCCTCTCCCTCAATCAGATCTGATAACAAAATGCCATTCTTAGCTCAGGCTTAATGCTTCATTACTGGTGAATTATGTGAGTGAAAAAAAGAGTGCAGGCTGGGTTCATTTTTCCTCTGCAAACTACAACAGACATCACTGCTCACCAGTCTTTATATGTGTTAACCTGGCAGGAAAGAAAGAATATAATTACTTAGTAAAACAAGAAATTGTGTTGAAACATGATGTCTATTTAAACTTCAAATCTTGTTTCGCAGTAGCCATGAAATGCAATGCCCGTCAGTTTAGAGGTCACTCAGTTTTGCACTATGCGATTTCTTCCTTCAATAACATTAATGGAATATATCTTGAATGAAATAAGTATGATTTACATAATCAGAAGCAAAGTGGACTTTCGTCGTAATTTAAAAAAGTGTATTTTTTTTTTGTTTAAATTCTATTTTTTATTGTGGCAGTTGTACACAACTTTTTGATATCAAGGTAATATTTCATAATATTCCAAACACAGAGAGCCACCAGTGTCCTATATAATCTCATGACAAAGTTACAGAGAGAAAATGTTTTCTTTGATTGTATAAAAGAAAAATATCTCAGTCGATTTGGATTCTGCCGGCAGAGTGGCCACTAGGGGGCCTGCAGAAAGAGACTATGCAAGCTTCTCGTCTTTGCTTCCATTCTAGAAGTAGAGAAGTGTTGGCATCCCAGATCATAGTTGCTTCATTCCTCTGTTTTATTTTGAACACATTAAAAAATTGATGCTAAAATAGTTTTTCTCATCTATCTCTCTCACTCAGCTTTATAAGTATTTGAATTATTTCGACTATGGTGTGTCCCACTATCCCTCTCTTCCCTGACTGTGATAAATGCCAGTTCCTGACAGTGTCCCTGCTCGTTTTGGTCTCTTAAGCTGTCATGGCACAGGAATCCCAGGCCTCCTCCATTTAGATTAAGCTGTACTGCTAAACTAGTGAAGGATCACGGGAACACTGTGCCTAACACTGCTTGTCTCGACACTCAGATGTGAGTGAGCAAACGCTCAGGATTTACGTCAGCCACTGCCTCATGGGACGACTTCACTGTTTGAGCCATTCTTGTTGCTCCCTGGAAATATAATGTTTATCTCTGACGTTGCTGGCTCTGGCACAGTGTTTCACTTGGTTGTCTCACTTGCACCATCACAACATACACAGCCTCTCAAACGTAGTTGTCCTTGCAACTTGCAGCAGTTAAAGTGCTTCTTTCAATAAGTGTGGCTTGAAAACAAGGTTCTAAATTATTAAATAAAGATGAGAAAGTGGAGGTGACTGTTGTTCTGTTTCACATTTGTATTATTTAAGCTATGCTAAAATGACATTCACATAAGATGCTTGTATCCATGTGGACAAAAGACTAAATAAAGCTGAAAGGATCCTGCAACGGATAGACAACTAAAGGCAGCCGCTCTTTTGTTGTTCACTCTACTGTGTTTGCTGACAGTTTTAATTGGCTCTAAACACAGGCATTTAGCTCATTCTGCCCAGAACCATCAGCTGCTTGTTACCATCCGCTCTGCTAGTTTAGAAACACAGCATGTCTGAATCTGTTAAAGGGCCTATATTCTACATTCTTCTTCTAATTCACTTTTTTCCCTGAAGTCCAATTCAGATTGATCTTATTTACCAAAAACATAATAATTTATTTATTAAAGCATAATTTTCCAACTTCTTTTAGATCTATGAAATTAAACAGGCTGTGTTTGTTAGTGACTTTAAGACTACAAATGACATCCAATTTTGACTGACTACCCTGTATTGTGTCTCCAAGCAATACAGGATGAAACACACCTTATAACTCCAGCATAAATGTGCTGGGCTAAAATGTAGGCTGATTAGGCTGATACATGTAAATGTATGGGTTTTTATGACACAAAAACAAGGCCGTTTTGCAGCTTATTTTCTGTATATGGACTGGGGAGTGAATGGTACATTTTGCTTTAAAGCTCTCAGTTTGTGAAATATGCTGTGTGTTTCAAAGACTCTACTGTTGAACCTCACAACAGGTTCATATCACTCTCAAGGCTTAAGTTACATGGTTTGTTCATTTGCTTTCTGTCTTACAGAAAGAATGGTTATGCCTGAACTGCCAGACCCAACGGGCTCTTTCCGGACAGCTTGGGGATATGCCTCCACCTTCTCCTTCCAAGCTGCCAGCTAAATCCCAACCTACCCCTCCATCTTCCCCAGCCCGAGTCTCCTCTGCCCCTTCATCCCCTGCTCCCACTGCCACTGCTATCCCTGCCAAAGGACTCACAAGGACCCCCAGTGTAACTCAGGCTCCTGCTGACAAGTCTGAACTTGTCTCAGCCACAGTTGATGCTAAATCTCTAGTAGAGTCAGCTGCAGTGAAAGGCGTTGAGGCACAGGCAGTACTGGAAAGCACACAGGTAGTACCTAAAGCAAGTGAAGAGCGAGCTCTTCACAATGCACCTGAAAACACAGAGGGCATATCCGCTCCACCTGAGCAAACAGTCAAAGTTGCCACCCCTCCCACTGATAGTGTCCCGGGGGATATAGCAGATGTTAAAGAGGCAGGTGCAGACCAGGCTGGAATTGTAGAGCAACCTGAGCCTCCTGTTGAGGACCAGAAGGGGGAAATAAGTGAGCAAGAGCAAAGTCAAGTAGTAGAAGCCTCTAATGATGCTAACATTGCTAAAAGAGAATCACAAAACACAGAGGTGACACCTGTATCTGAAGGTGTTGATCTCACTGAGACCTCATCATCTGACACCAAGAGTGAGATTAACTCAGACAGGACACAAGTAACAGAAGCACAAGTGACAGACATTAAGCCAGCCACAGATAGAGAAACAGACCAACAAGCATCTTATCAAGGATCAGATGAGGTTTCACCACCTGAATATCCAGCAGAGGAATGTTCTGCTGAGCCAGCATCAGCTGATTATATGCAGACTAGTGTAGGAAATAGATCAGATAATAAAAATATCCCTGTAGCAGATGAAGTTGAGACTGCAAAGGAGGTAGAAGAAGAAGAAACAATTGCTAAAGAAAGTGCTGTTACTACCAGCAGTCTGGAAATGCCTGTTGAACCGGAAAGACCTACACATCCTGATGAGGCTGTTAGCAGCAAAGATGAGGTAAAAAATGAGGTTATGCCTCATAAAGCATGTAAGGCCAAGGCAGAGACAGAAACCCTATCTGCCCAAGCCCCTTTATATCCAGAGAGTGAGGAAAAGGCATCTATAGATGAGAAATATCCACCTAATGTGGAGAAAGAGACGCCACAGCAAAGTGAAGATGCACACACAAGTGCACTCTGCACACAAGAAGCTCAAGCGCCTCTTGCTGAAACTCCAGAGAGTCCTACCCCTGCCTCCCCAGCCCCTGCTATACTGACAGAATCTGAACTAACAAATAAATATGACAGTTCAGAAACAGGGCACAATGCATACCTTACGACAGGGGAAGTAGCTTCAAACACACCAGACTCTGTATTAGGAAGTACTAATAATAATCCTCCTAAAGAGACAGAGGATGTTAGTCCTATGGTTGTGGCAAAAGTGGCAGAATCTGTGCCCCAAAATCAAACAGCTGACAGCTCTACATCTAGAGTAGAAACTGATAGTGAGGTTTTTAGTGAATATAGTGTTGATAAAGAAAAAGAGGAAAATATTCAAAAAGATAATTCAGAAAATCAGAATCAGGCTAGTCTAAATAAGGAAAAAGAGGAGGGTCAACTAGAAAAGGAGCAGCTAACTGAAACAGAGACTGATAAATCTCCAACAGGTAACAAAGCAGAGGCCAATGAGAAAACTGTTGTATGTACTGAGAATGAGATGGGGCAAGTGGCAAAAACAACTGAAAAATGTAAAACGGACTTTCACAACACATTTGATGAGTCTGCTCCTGAACCTACCATTTCCGAGCCAGAGATCATTAATAAAGACATAAAAGAAAAAACAATCTCCCAAGCAGAGCTGGCCCATCTGGCTCAAGAAACTACTCCCGAAGGAGAAGAATCACTGCTAGAGAATGTACAGCCAAAACAAGAGCTCTCAAAAGAAACTGCCTCAAAATTAGAATATTTAGGAGACAAGCGAATCCATGAGAAAATAGAGAAAACTGAGAGAATGGATTTTGATACTGAGGTGCTCCAGAATGACAAGAGTTTAGAAAATTTGCCAAACATGTCTATTCCGCAGCTTGCCAACAAAAAAGAGGACGGTAAAGCTGAAACTAAGACAGGGTTTGCAAGTTCTTTGTCACAGGTAGAATCAGAGCAGATCCCATTCTCTTCAGTTAGTGAAGCTAAATATATGGGAAAGGTCTCAGAGGAAGAAACAGTGGAGTCACACACTGACACTGTGAAGACTGAGACTGAATGTGTAGTTGAGAAGGATGACTCACCAAGTGCTCAGAAAGTTCCTAAGAAGGAAGAAAATTCATCACTCAAAAACAGTGTAATAAAACAATCTAGAGACACAGTCGTAAAAAAAGCTCAAGAACAGTCTACCACACCAGCTGTTCTCGTGGACAAGATAGAAGGAGAATCTGCGCTCCCTGCATTTGATGGAAAGGAAGACATTATAACAAAAAGCAAGCTCGATTCAAATGGAGAACAATCTGTAGTTCCAGCTCAAATAATTGATTCCTCTGCCTCAATGCCCCATAAAGAAAATAAAATAGTTAAAAATGAACAGGAGGTAAAAGTTGACCTAGAAGCCGTTAAAAAATCCTCTGACACGCAATTTAATGTTGAAAGTGTACTCTATACTTTAGATTCGACAGTAGAACCAGCTTCTCTACTCCCAGTAGCTAACAAACAAGAAAAAAACAAATCTTCTGTGGAAGTGCAGTCTCCAGACACTGAAGAGAAAAAAGAAGATGGGCCAAAGCCACTGATAAAGCCAAAAGAAACTGATGAGTTGGGAGAGGTAACTGTAGCAAGTAGCTGTAGAGGAAATGCTAGATGAAGCTCTTTTAGATACTTAGATACTAGGGAAGTGTCTGTTTAATGCTTTTAATACTAAAATGCTATTTTACCGTGTATATTCTGATTTGAATGCATTGCAAATTCTAATTTGCCTATGTATCTTGCAGAAGACAGATGTTGCTGTGCCTGCAAAAGACAAAGAGCTACTGAAGGAGCCTGGTGAGAAAGATGGAGTCAATCAAGAGTGCAGTCCCACCAGCCCTTCAGATTTGGCCAAGTTGGAGAGCACTGTACTTCCAATACTTGAGGCTCAGACATCACCTTCTAAAGATGAATCACAAAGTGACACGATGAAGACCAGACGCCGACTGGAGGTGCTCCCAATGTCTCCAGATCTCAGTTCAGAGGAAGACAGATTTGGTGAGGATCAAGAACAAAAGGATGGTACTGCAGACCGTAAAAAAGAAAGGAAAAAGCTACTTGTGCCAGCAGACATTCAAGGAGAGTTTTTGGAGGACAGCAGTGAGGGAGAATCTTCACCTATCGTTGAGAGAAAAAAGAAACTTAGTGAAGAAAAGAATTTAGGAGGAGAAAGTCCAGGTTCTGCAGATGACGAAGAGTTTATTCGAAAGCAGATTATGGAAATGAGTGCTGATGAGGATGCATCACCATCTGATGAAGAAAACCTTATCAGGAAAAAAATCAAGGATCATGAAAAGAAGCAACTGGAAAGAGATTCCAAGAAAGAAATCAAAGAGAAGAGTGAGTCAGGCAAGACAAGACGTCTTCTCAAAAAGAGTAGTGTCAGTCCTGAGGATGAGCCAGACCGTAAAAGTATCATTTCTGTGGCCAAAATTGAGGAACTAGATAAAGGGGAGCAGCCTTTTCCAGACAATGAGGCTGGCATTCGACATTTTAAAACTATCGAACTCAACAGTGTTGCCACTGTTCGGCAGGCTTCAGATGATGGTGAACCAGAGAGCCTTACAGACTCCCCTGATGATAAATCCAGAGGTGAAGGTTCTTCAAGCTTGCACGCTTCCAGCTTTACTCCAGGAACATCTCCAACCTCCCTCTCTTCACTTGATGAAGACAGTGACAGCAGCAGCCCAAGCCATATTCGGTCCAGTGGTGAGGGCAAGCAGCACAGGAAAGCCAAGCACCGGCAACCGGGACAAATGCTACCCACTATTGAAGATTCATCCGAAGAAGAAGAACTGCGTGAGGAAGAAGAGCTTCTGAAAGAACAAGAGAAGCAGAAGAGCTCTGGGAAGAAATCAAAAAAGGACAAAGAGGAAATACGTGCACAGAGAAGGAGAGAGCGGCCAAAAACTCCACCAAGTAACCTCTCACCGATTGAAGATGCTTCTCCAACAGAGGAGCTGAGGCAAGAAGCAGAGATGGAGGAAATCCGAAGATCTTCTTGCTCAGATTTCTCTCCAAGCATGGATTCAGACCCAGAGGGTTTTGAGATTCTTCCAGAGAAAATTGCTGCTGTCCAAAAAGTGTATCAGCTGCCAACTTCAGTCTCCTTGTATTCTCCAACAGATGAGCAACATGCTGATAATCAGTCAAAAGAAAATAAGGAAAAACGACCTTTGAAAACTGCAGATGAAGCATATGAGGAAATAATGCTGAAGGCAAAATCTCCAACTACAGAGAGAGAGGAACTTCCACCAGGGAAAGAGTCTCTTTATGGTGGAATGCTGATTGAAGACTACGCTTATGAGTCCTTGGTTGAAGATGTATATGTGGAGCAGGAACCAGACAAAATTTCTGTTCCAGAAAAAGCTAGAAAGCTGAGATCTCCTGATGAAGTATATGAAGACATGATGCAGAAAAAGAAAGATATGCTGCTAAAAGAGCAGCAGCTGAAAAAAGATCAGACCATAAAAGAAACCTCCAAACCAGAAATCATGCTTCCCCCATCTGACACCAAAAGAGACACCGTTTCCTCAAGTATCTCTGCCCAGTCAGGCAAGGATGGGAAACCATTATTAGATGCAGAGGAAGCATATGAGGAACTTATGAAAAAACATAGAGCTGTTCTGACACCAGGCACCAGCCCAACCCAATCTGTTCCTGATTTGAATGATGCAGCACAGCAAATGACAGTAACTTCTTCAGAAAAAATAGATGATGTTCCTCCAAGAAGAATTCTCCCTATACCTGATCTGAGGGTGACGCAGTGCTCCTCAGGTGAAGAGGAATCTGGAGAGGAGAGCACTGTAGATCAAAAACAGGACACTGAAAAAGGTTCAGTTCCTGTATCAATGTCAACAGATACTACAGTGGCTGAGCCAACATCATTTGATACTGAGGTACCTCATCAAGCACCAGTTGCTTCTCCAGCTTCAGAGCCTGTAACAGAGTCTGCTGTATCAAGGGAAGAAGCACCATCAAAACCACTACCACCACAAGATGCCATAGTTGAAGCAGTTGAGACTTTCCAGTCTGATGTTGTTGACTTGTCAAAGTCTTCAGCCTCTACTCAAATAGATGCTTCCCCTATTCCAATTCATAGTGTAGTTTCTAGACCTTCTGTCCCAGTTGCATCACCTTTACCCACTGTACCACAGTACACTCCAACAGTACCTAGTGTAATATCAACTGCACCACCTGTTCCTCCCAAACCAGTGGTTCTACGTAGAGCTGTGTCTCAGGAAAGAGCAGACATTCCTGTTCCCCCACCCCTACCACCTCCTACTCTCCCCAAGCCTACTGTTTATCCCAAAAAGATTCCACCTCAGGTTCCCCAAAGAACAGTTCCAACTACAGTCCCTAGACAACCTATGGCTCCAACATATAAGCCCCATGTTCCTCCTCCTGTGCCTCCAAAGCCATCTTCAATCCCTGCAGGCCTGACATTCAGTCACAGACCAGGAGAGTCTGTGAAGCCACCCATAGCTCCAAAGCCCATGTCAAGTGCCCAAGCATCTTCTTCTGCATATGCTCCACCAAGACCAAACATCCTCCCCACAGACACTGTAGAAGGTGCTTTGAATCTGAGTCCTTCAGCTGAAACTAAGACAGGGACTACTTCACCAATCAAGTCGCCTACATCCCCTAGGTTTGGCAAAAGTTTACATGACACTTATGTGGTTATTACTCTTCCATCTCAGCCTGGTTCACCCATAGAAGGTGTGACAACCCAAGCCCCAACAAGTTTTGACCTCACTTCACCCAGCAAACAAGCTCCTACACAGCTCCAAACTCAGGCACAGGTGCAACCACCACCACAGTCACAAACAACTAGGGTTCCATTAGCATTTACACGAATTACAGAATCCATAGAAAGCCAAGAAATATGTGGTCCAGAGAAGGTAGTTTCAAGCATGAGTCATGTCTATGAGGCTATTTCAGCTTCACAGCCTTCATCAGTCATTCCAAATGTTGGTGTCCAGGTAGTTACTACTGAAGTCCAAAGGACAACAGTGTCAGTTGTGCATGAAAGAACAGCACCACCACTTCCTACTCCTAGAGCCACTGGGGTACCAGTTGTTCCTGAAAATTTGAAACCTCAGTCAGTACAAGCACAGAATGGTCAAGCCTATCATCCTGGAGAGGTTGTTGACCTGCGCACTCCAAAAGTTGATGCAGAAACTGCTATGAAAGGTATGGATCTGTCATCATCTGAGTCACGACGGCAGTCCCTCCTTGCTGATGGCAGTGGGCGGCAACAAAGTGCCGTTCAGTCATCAGTTATGAATCTGAGCACAGATACTTCCTCAGTGTCTGTTGTAACTGACAGCATCACCATCCTCACTTGTACAGCTACTATAGCATACAGCAACAGTGATCTTTCTCAGGCCACCTCAATGCCTCTTCAGCTTACAACAGCTAAATCTTTTGAACCTGTTTCCCAAATTATTTATCGTCCTGTTGACTCTCAACCAGAAAAACCTATCAATCTCTCCACAACTGTGGGCAAAACTCATCCTGTTCCTGTGACATTAGCCCCCACAATTGCAAGCAATGGCATTAGCACAAGTATTCCACCTCGACTGGAAACTTGTGTATCTGGTGCTGTTGACCTCACTACTATGAAGCCAGTGCAAACCATGGTGTCTGTAGATGGTTCCACTTCAGAAGTGGTCATGGCAGTGATCACAGAGGATGATGGCAAACCAGTAGACCTTACAGCAGGAAGACGGGCAGTCTGTTGTGATGTTGTCTACAAGCTTCCGTTTGCAAGTAGCTGTGCCACTCAACAGCCTTCAGCTCCATTGCCAGAGGATCGTTTTGGCTACAGGGATGACCACTACCAATATGATCGCTCCCCATATGGAATGAGAGGACTTGGTGGAATCAAGCCCTCAATGTCTGACACAAATTTGGCTGAAGCTGGCCTCTTTCTATACAAAAGTAAGAATAGCTATGATTACAACGGGGCAATGGAAGGTGCTGTAGACCTAACCTCTGGAAAGATGTCTGTGGCAGGTCAGTGTGATATTGCAGATCTTTCCCACAGGTGTCATTTTGAGTTTCCTATACTTATTCCAAGCTGAAACTTTTTGTGCTTTTTTTTAAGTTGTGCTTTTTTGTTTTTCTTGGACTTTGCATGTTTATGCTTTCCCTATTTTTTACTTTTGTATTCAGATTTGTGTCTGCATGCAATTCAATGATATTTGAATTTTGCACTTCCCGTGATCTGGCAAAAGTCACTTTTGTTTTGCTTTATTTGGACGAAGCATGGCTTTCTTGGTGTTTTGATCAAAGCTTATATGAACTGAGCTCATTATTTACAGTCTGAACTTTTAACAGGTGAAGCTGTGGACTACTCAAGCAAAGCCACGGGAGTGTATTCTGGACTTACAATTCCACCATTCTCTCAGGCCAGAATAACTTCTACAGTTGGAACTCACTTTGGAGTTCCTAGTGTCCTGAGATCTTCAAATGGAGTGGTTTACTCCTCTGTAGCAGCACCAGTTCCTTCCACATATGCTATAACTACTCAACCTGGATCTATCTTCAGTATGACATACAACACTCTGTCAGGCATGCATACTAGTGACACAATGCCATCATTGTCAAATCTGCAGAGTCGGCCACTCACAAGATCACACAGCTTCCTCTCCACAATTGCTGTGACTACAGCAGAGAACGAAGAAGACATGCCCTTGAATCTGGAGACAGGTGTCTCTAAGGATATTTTTTCGACAGGCCTCTCAGAAGTACCTCCTACTGTAACCACAGTAGCAGCACTAGACTACACAGATGCCTCACTGGAAGCTATTGCAGCTTCACTAGAGGCTCTGTCTTCCCCCATGGTTCCAGGTGATGAACAGTATCAGATGGAGCGTGAGCTTCTGGAGCTAGAGAAAATAAAACAACAGCGTTTTGCTGAAGAACTAGAGTGGGAGAGGCAAGAGATTCAGAGATTCCGGGAGCAGGAGCAGCTTCTAGTACAGAAAGAGTTAGAGGAGCTACAGGTCATGAAGCAGCAGATTCTGTGCCAGCAGGAAGAAGAGAGGCAAGCTCACCTCATGATGCAAAAAGAAACGTATGCTCAGCAACAAGAGCAGTTGGAGCAGATTCAGAGGCTCCAAGAGCAGCTTAGACAGCAACTGGAAGAGCAGAAATACAGGCAAATGTATCCAGGTGAGATCCATGAGCAGACACATGGTGTCATTGTAGGGACTGACAAAAAAATGGATAGTGGCTGTCAGACAGATGAAGAGGACAATACAGACAAGGCCTATACTGCAGGAAGAAAAAAGAAGAGTGCCAAGAAGAGTGTAGACAGCAGTGTACAGACAGATGATGAAGATCAGGATGAGTGGGAGGTTCCTGCTCGAGGGAGACGTAGTAGGTCACGAGGTGGTAAATACAGCACAGGTGAGAGAAGTGGAGTTTCAGTGCAGGCTCTGACAGAAATCTCTGTACAGACAGATTCTTCAGGAACACTTAGAGGACATACTGTGCAGACGGACACTAGGGTTGATTATCCTGACTCTGACAGAACTTCCTCCCCTAAAAGACGTCCTACCCCATTAGAGATTAGTCAGTCTCCACATCTCAAAGCAGACACCTCCACTCTTCAGATTGCTCCAGCTCCCCCTAAATCCCCAAAAGTCCTCTACTCTCCAATGTCTCCTTGTATGTCCCCTAGCAAATCCCTTGAGTTTGTGTCCTATGAGAAATCTCTTGGGGACACCAGCCCACAGAAAACACATGGAGCAGACCCATCCAGGGCACCCAAAGTCATGCAACGGTCACTATCTGATCCCAAACCCATGAGTCCAACTGCAGAGGAGAGAGCAGCTGCCAATTTCCAGTACTCTGAGGGTTATGCTGTAAGTATATACTTTTCTTCTTTAATAGTATAGGTGTGATACTGCATCTTTATTTTTAATCTCTTCTTATTAATCTTATGTATAATATATAATAATGAGTACAGTACTAAAAATATCATTATGTTCTTGTTTAGTTTATTCGATGGTTTGTGTTTTCTTTTGTTTGAGTTCATCCTTCAGTGGTCTAGACAAGGATTGCCTCTCATTTCTGTGTGCTCATTAAAATACCTTTAAATATTTTGATCATACAATAGAGATGATAACATTGTTTCATTATAATGCATTAAATGTGCTTAAATATTAATTAAACATTCATTAATTAAAAATCAAATGCATTGTTTCCATGTCAGGGTAAAGGATCTCCAAGTGGCACTCCCTCTGGCACACAGAAGAAAGTGAAGAGAACTCTTCCTAACCCACCTTCAGAAGAGGAGGCTGCCAATGCTGGCCAAACGCCATATAGCACCGCCTCCGCCCGTCGTCGTCTCTGCCGAAGCTCCAACATGGCAAGGGCAAAAATCTTGCAGGACATTGACCGTGAACTGGACCTGGTGGAACGAGAGTCCTCCAAACTTCGCAAGAAGCAGGCAGAATTGGATGAAGAAGAGAAAGAGATTGATGCCAAACTGCGATACCTAGAGATGGGAATCAACAGAAGGAAAGAGGCCTTACTCAAAGAAAGAGAGAAGAGGGAAAGGGCATATCTGCAAAGTGTTGCAGAGGATCGTGACTACATGTCTGACAGTGAGGTGAGCAACATCCGTGAGACAAGGAGGGGTGGAGACGAAGAGGAGGTAGGTGGACATGGACTTGAGAGACCACGCACTGCTCCACAGTCAGAACTTGATGAGTTTGTTCCTCCACAGACCAAACATGAGTATGGCAAATACTCCCAGTATCAGTACCCACAGTATCAGCAGTCTCTGTATCAGTCTCAACAGCCCTACCAGTCTCAGTCAATATACTCCTCTGTGCCCTCTCTCACTGCCTCTCAGCAGCAGAGTTATCACCAGATGCTGCTATTACAGCAGAAAGCCAGACAACAGGCTGCCCTTCTGTCTGAACTAGATGCCACCAAAGTGTCAAGCAACTATGATACCTCATCTTATCTGGGAGGGAAGTATGGAAATCATCTTGATCTGCGTGGCCTGGAAGAACGTGGTGGCAGCATAGTAGGAAGTCCAATGTCCAATGTGTCAGCAGACTCTTTCTATGCTGACTTGGATCAACACCCCCAAACGCCCAGAAGTTACCTGCTCTTAGAGGATGCGGCTGAACTTGCTAAGAGCTCAACTGGCCTCTCATCAACCAGCTATGGAATTGCTGAGAGGGAGCTAGCCAAAGCAGAGCGCCTACTAAGACGCACAGCAGCAGATGTGGGCACAGACTTCCTTGGCAGCTCCTCAAGGCTTCATTCCTATGGTAAAACCCAAGATGATGAGGATTCAATGGAAGAACCATATGAGCTGAAGCTTCTAAAGCAGCAGCTGAAGCAGGAGTTTAGAAGGAGCACAGGCGGCACTGAGAGTTTAGAGCAGCTGGCTGGCCTCTCACATCATTATACTCCTAGCACTGGTGTAACAGGAGGAGGCTATAGGCCATTCCCCAAGTCAGACAAATACAGCATAAGTAGATTAACCCTGGAGAAGCAGGCAGCCAAACAGCTTCCAACATCTATGCTCTACCAGAAACACAAAAACGCCAGCAACATTGGAAAATACTCCTCCATCCAGGACACTAGGGGCTTAGAGACAGACTATAGCAGCTACCTGGGATCCACTGGTTCCTCACCAAGATCAAGCAGATTACTACAGGATGAAATCACCTTTGGGCTTCGTAAGAACATTGCAGAGCAGCAAAAGTACTTAGGCTCAACAGTAGGAGCCAATCTCGCTGGTTCACTCAATTTAGGTCAGAGTCTGAACCTGAGCCCAGGTGTGAGGACATCTCTGGGGGAGGATTCTGCTTATCCCAGTGGGAGCCGATCCCGGCCATCCTCTAGACCTTCTTCTGTGTATGGCCTAGACTTATCTCTCAAAAGGGACACCTCCAGTTCTTCCCTGAGGCTCAAAGCAGAGGGTGACCCATCTTCAGATACTTCTGCATATCAGACACCATCAGGTAGGATGAAACCTACCAGTCTGCCTATTGGCCAGGGTGGACGTGGGCGAATCCCAATCGTGGCACAAAACTCTGAGGAAGAGAGCCCACTGAGTCCGGTGGGTCAGCCGATGGGTATGGCACGGGCATCTGCTGGTCCGCTCCCACCTATATCTGCCGACTCCCGCGACCAGTTTGGGTCTTGCCTCTCCCTCCAGGACCCCCAGCAACAGCACCTCAGGGAGGACTCTAGCAGAGGACGCAGCTACGTGCTCATGGATGACCTGCAGGGCACAATGTCTGATAGTGAAGGTAACTTTTTTCTCCTTAGGCCGTCCTTCTCGAACACCAAGTCGCACTCATTTCCTTCAAATTTTCTTTGGCTGTCATCTTGTCTTTCTTTTCCTGAGTGTTATTTCTTTATCCGTGTAAAAATTTCATTAATTAGTTGTATTTACCAATGTTCAGGCCCTTTCTATTCTGTGTTGAAATCATGGTACATGAATTTATGTTTCATCAAACATAAAAAGCAAATGTATCGGGTTATACTTTGGTTGCAAATGTGAATGCTTTGCATGTCATCTCTCTTCTAGCTGACCATTTTGTTTCCTACTTCTATTTATGCTTGCACTGTCTTTCTTAAAAATGCATGAAAAGAAGGCATTGTGTATCTAACTCTGAGAGGTCCTGGAAATTTTCACATTTGTCATTTCCCAAGAGTTTAGGTCAACTAGCCTTGCTACAGTAGTTCCAGACAGACAACATAATTGAAACCAAGCAAAAACAATGTGTTATGGTACAAAAAAGTGCCTCCAGATTGGCAACATTTTATCAATAAAGTGAGATATTGAACAATAACAACAGAACAAAATCTTAAAATCCATAAAAAATACATAGTTCAGCTGTTCCCACACAATATTCAGAAAAGGTTAAAATGTTTTATGATTTGAAGTGCACATACTGTACAACATTACTAGAATTGATTTGTATGAAGGTGGTTTCAAATCATGTATGGAGGAGTGGAGTCAGTCTGTTGGCATTTAAACTTAAAGATATGTCTAAGTTTTTACGATAGAGATGAACAGTCCTCTCTCAGTGATTTGTGATGCACTCCTTGTGTTATAATAGTCTGTGTCTAATTCATTTTCAGTTTCTGATTGTTTGCATGTTTTGTGTTCTTACAATAATAAACTAATGAGTTGCATGTGCATGTTTTTTGTTTCTGAATAAATCTTCTTGCATGTTGCATGCTAATCTACACACTTTTTGTTTAACAAAAAGTTTGGTCTCACTTTATTTGGATAGTCCACTATAGATTATCTACAGATGTTCAAATTGGTAACCAACTATCCGTTGAAACTCATTGATTCTAAACAGTGGTGGGGTTAGGGTTAGGATTTGGACCAGGGTTAGGGCTAGGACCAGGGTGAGGGTTGGGTTTAGGTTTTGGGTTGAGGCTAAGGCTAGGGTTAGAGTTGGAGCCAGGTTTAGAGTTAAGAAAGAAAATTATCTAGTTAAGAAAATTAGAAAGAAAAAAAAAAAGAAAATGATGGTCAAATTAGTAGATATTTACTTGAATGTAACTTGAAAGTAAATGAAGTATCTACAAAGCATCTAAAGTGGACTATCCAAATAAAGTGTTACCAAAGGTTTATCTCTACTAACAGAGAAGGGTTTGCTTTTCTGAACTTTATTCTCAGGATGATTGCCTCTCACAAATGCATCAGTTAACGTTGATATGAAATCAGCTAATAATGCAATTTAATTTGGATTATAAGCCTGTATATCTTTTACAATACTTAACATGCAAAATATAATTCACTAATAATCACATCCATTGTAATAAGTAATGTTGTTCAAACCCAAATCTAGTGCATCATTTGATTACACACATTTGATCATTTCTTTAAGTGAATTGTTATTATCCCCACACATGTAATACCATATGATGAATGCATCATATGTGCCATCTGGAAGTAAATGCATTTGCCTTGGTTGCAGCACTAAGTGAATCCCTGGTGGGTTTGAACAGAGACGATCCAGGAAACACACATGAGAATGTCACAGACGGTAGAGTATTATCACTTTAGCTTCCAGCTCCCCTACCCCTCCCTCTAACATCCACCTAATCACCTCTGCCCCAACGTCCACTACTCCCCTCCTCCTTCTAACACCCAGCACCAGCCACCCACTCACCCCCTGCACCATGACCACCTGCCTGCCACTCACCCATAAGCCCATGGTCAACTGTATCAGCTGTAGATTCATTTCCATAACAACGTGATATGGGGAGTGTGTTGAATACATACATTAATATAATGTTGCAGTAGTTCCTCATGCATCTGCATTTTTAATTTTAATTTCATGCTCCCTTCGCTCTAAAAATAACTACAGTTTTGTTGACACAATATGCTGCATTGCCACCACTTAAAATAGCAATATCACACCAGTCATGTAGATCTCAAAACTACTGAAAGTTCAGTGCTAAATCTTGTCTTTAGTAAATACAGGATAAGTTAGTTACACGGTAAGCTACACCATTAAATGCCATTGAAAACAATTAGATAGAGGACTTTTCAGATTTTACTTAAATGTATAGATAGCCTTCATCTTTCATATCATGCTACATTTGAAATTCAGATTGCTATTCACGTTCATATTTGTGCTACACCACCATGATGATGTACTGTATGTCCAATATGCACATCCTTAAGATATAATCAAATGATTTATTTCCCAGTATTACTGTATTAGCGCATCAAATCTTCTAAATGAAAGATACAAAAGATTTTATCAGGAGACCCCATCATAGAATACAGAAAAAAATATGCATGCATTGCATCCTGCATTGGTTTGCAACTCTCCCCAAGTCTCTCCAACCTTCTCCTTGCCTTCTCAGAGTAAGATTCTTCCCTGCATTCTACCAAAACAGCAGCTATCTTTCTATCTCTAGTTTACACTGGTTCCTGTCTCTTCCAAAGTTAAAGTAGTCCTAATCAAGGAGAGATGAGTTAAGAGAACAATGATACCTTGTTCCTTTACACCAAGAAAATGTATACCTTTGACTTTGACCAAATTTGTAGGTTTACAATCTACAGTAGATTCTGTCTTCTTAATGCCTCCCTCCAACAGATAAAAATAAAATGTCCTCTGGTATATGGTATATCTTGTGTGCATGTCTGGAACAAGCTTTGAACTGGGGACTCTGTTCATTGCACCTGTCTCTAGTGTTTAAGGCTGATCCATATACCTGGAGGGAATTGGTAGGGTTTCTTTTAATAAGCTAAGAGCAAGTTTTAAAAAGGTTGATTCTGATCTGATTTTTCTGAAGCCTACCACCTGCGTCGGGAGGAGACCGACTGGTTTGACAAGCCGCGAGAGGATGGACAGGGACTGGATAGGAGACAGGTGAAGAATACATCTGAATACAAACACAAACACTGTGTCCTCAGCCACTTCTATTCCCAATTATCCCAGGTATTACAGTGAGGGGAAAGAAGAATTCAGACACTTTTTGTTACCCTGGAGAGTTTAGATCTAGCACACCTGGCTCTATTATTCAGATGTCCATGAAGGTCTTCCTTACCTGGATCAGTTGTGACAGACTAAGGTTGGGGCTGAACTCTGCAGGGTGGTAGATCTCCAGGACCAGGATTGGGCACACCTGGTACATATATCCATATATCCACTTCAAATTTACTCACATAATATTGTCGGTACTTACAGCGTTGAGACATCTACGGTAAAAAGTAATTAACTTTTTCGCAGCATTGTGGTTCAATTTTGCCTAATTCCTCTTTTGCAAGTTATTCAGTTTCCCAAGGTTATGAGGATCCTTCTGATGGACTGCCAGTGACTCCATTCATTTTCAGTGGGATTCAAGTTAGAAAACTGGCTTTCAAGCACTTTCACGTTCAAGTCTTGAGTGTTTGGGGTCATTGCCTTGTTCAAACATCCATCTTTTCCTCAGATTTTGTTTTTTGGTTGATGAGAAAAAATTCACCTATAATTTGCCCCAGTACATCGGTCCATTCATGTTTCCCTCAGTAGTGTAGTGCCCTGGCACCATTTGCAGAGATACAGAGATCTTGATGTTTCCACCTTCATACTTCACTGTAGGTATGGTGTTCATCATATTGTATTATAGTCAGAAGAAAAAACACAAGGCAACCATGATCTGCAGCAAGAAGTGCTCTTTATTGAACACACAGCAAGAACAGCACATACAGAGCACTTGAACTGTGGGGGAGGTCACCATTAGCCACATGCTTCACCCTGATGGTGATCAAACCCCAATACAAAACCCCAAACAACCCCACTTCATGACACTAAACATCAGAAGTAACACATACACATAACCTTAACTAACAAACAGCAACAGTAAACAACATAAACAGTCCCTTTGTTGGAGGGTGTGAGTTACATTTTTGTTTTGTCTAACCAGGGTACCTTGTTTCAAAAGAGTTCTGATTTGTGTAAATGCAGAGTGCAAATATTAGACACACATCCATTTTTTTGGCAGAAGAGTTTTGTGCGGGGTGTAGGAACAGAGGTGAACGTGGTGCACTTTACTGCTTTATGTCCTCTGTGTAACTGTTGTTCCTGCTGCTTTCAGGTCATCCTGCAACTCTTATCAAGTGACTGCTGGCTTCTCCTGTATCTTTCTTATCATTAATCTGAGTGCCTAGTGTAAAATCTTGCATGGTGCACCTGTCTGAGGATGAGAGATGTGGATCCACTTGCATGTTATCAAACCAATTGTACTGATAACGCTGTTAATGGTATTCGGTATGTTTCTGTAGCTTTTTCCTTTTTCTGCAGTATTAACATTTGAAAAATATATGCCCGTTTTGAATTTGATGCCAGCAACACATTTCAAAGAAGTTAGGACAGGGGCATGTTTACCACTGTTTTGTATCACCTCTTCTTTTAATGACACTCTAAGCATCTGGGAACTGAGGAGACCAATTGCTGTAGTTTTGAAAGTGAAATGTTTTCCTGTTCTTGCTTGATATAGGATTTCAGCTGCTCAGCAGTTGAGGGTCTCCTTTGTTGTATCTTTCAGTTCATAATTTGCCAAATGTTTTCAGTGGGTGACAGGTTTGGACTGCAGGCAGGCCAGTTTAGCACCTGGACTCTTCTACTATGGAGCCATGCTGTTGTTATATGTGCAGAATGTGGTTTTTTATTGTCTTGCTGAAATAAGCAAGGCCATCCCTGAAATGACATTGTCTGGATGGCAGCACGTTTCTCTAAAATCTGTATAAATTGTTCAGCATTAACAATGCTTATAATAATCCAGATGGTCTTTAGCCCGGAGGACAATGTCCATGATTTCCAAAAAAAATTTCAAATTGTGATTCGTCATCCATCTTTTTTTCAAATTGTGATTCGTCATCCATCTTAAATGAGCTTGGGCCCAGAGAAGGCGGCAAAATTTTTGGATTCTGCTTATGTATGTTTTTTTCTTTGCATGGTAGAGTTTTAACTTGTATTTGTGGGTGGAGTGAATGCAGTGGATGCAGTCTGTTCACAGACAATGGTTTTCGAATCTTGTCCGTTTTTAATGTTGTGGCGCCTGAAGGCTCGAAGATCACAGCCAGTCAGTGTTGGTTTTAAGCCTTGTCTCTTGCATGCAAAGATTTCTCTGGATTCTTTAAAGTCTTTTAAAGATATTATATACCGTAGATGATGAAATCCCAAATTATTTGCTATTTTACATTGAGAACCATTATTCTTGAACTGTTGCACTATTTGCCTGTGCAATCTTTCCTGAACCCCTCCTCATCTTTACTTCTGAAAGACTGAGCCTCTCTGGGATGCTCTTTTAATACCCAATCTTTTTACTGACCTGTTGCCCATTGACCAGTAGGTTTTTTTAGCATTACACAACTATATCAGTGTTTTGTTGCCCTGCCCCAAAAACAAAAGTATCAAAATTCTTTTTTCTCCTCACTGTAGATGCACAACACTATAGATGCAAGGAATAACCACAGAAACAACTTTGAAAACATGCACCACAAATACAGTTTCTTTCTGTACTACAAGTTTAGCAGCAAATGCGAAACATTAATGAATTCATTGTAATGTAGTGGTAGTCCCAGTGTTTCATGTAGGTGTGAATCTGTGTGAATTTGGCTTGTGCTTGTGTGATATGACGCAGATGAAGTCTCAGCACTACCCCTTTCCTCATGCAAGAGTGAAACTGCAGAGGGATCCTAAAGACCGCAGTGTATCAGGTAATCACTAACATCTGTACACCCTGGCTAAACACTCTCTTTATGTCATAATACATGACAGTGACTTAGACACCTATCAGCCTGTGTCAAAATCAGCCTGTTACAAAAAATGATCTCCCTGCCTGCCAGGCTTACAAAGCAAGGAGCCTCAGGGAAGTAGTAAAGCAAAAATGCTTTAAAAAGCCTTTTATGCCATCTCCAGTTTGTTCTTGCTAATAGTAACTAATCCGTGTCACCAGACAGACTGTCAACATATGCATGTGTACTGCACAAGACATTTGAGGCCTTCTGTGCTTTTGCAAAATAACAGTCTGGTTGTGGTACGGCTAGCCCAGCTTCTGAAACATTGCTGCTCTAGAGACTAGAACAGAGCAGACATTTCATGGCATGGCAGCGGATTGGCACCTCTCCACTTTTGTCAGTCATCAAAGCCCAAAATGGTGTGTAATGCTCATGTCAGATTATCCTCATAATTAGCAACCAGTGAACAAACAGAAAGCGGAAGCTGTACTGTATGTGCTGCACTGTGACTGGCTAATTTGTTGCACCTCATACACCACAATTAAGATGGGGTAATGTCTAGATTAGTAATTAATCAGTCTCAGGGCTGACATTCTAAAGTACTGGGGGACTGTGTGAGTCACTATTTGCTTTTGGCTCCTCACAGCCATGTTGTTGCTCATTATATACCATGAATAAAGTAAGCAGATGCACTTGATGACCTTGTCTTAATTTCCACCTGTCTTGTGCCTCTAACGTGCACCTTCTCGCAAGAGTCTGCAAGGGTATCACATTACTGTTTTTGTGTTCTGCAAGCGTGGTCTCAAGTTCCCTCAATAAGCCCACGGTTACAATTTTGCTAATAGGAGCAATCTAGCTAGTACCGCCTTTGCATCAAACCTAAGATCCCTGCTGAAAACAAACACTCCATCCTGGTCTAAGCTGGTCCAAGCTGGTTTATGCTGGTCTAGTGGTGGTCAGGTGCTGGTATACCTGGTTACCCAGCATGGCCATGCTGGTTGACCAGCATACCAGCATCCAAAACACAGCATTTGCTGGTCTATGTTGGTTTTTCTAGCAGGGACAACACTGGTAGTTTTGCTCAGTGTCAGACAAGATAAGCATAGCTGTAGCTAGCTTGTGTAATGTGTTGCCCTGCTGTGATCCAGTCAGTTAATAAATAAGCCCTTCCTGAGGTGAACTGGATGTGTTAGCACAGGAAAACACTCATGTGAAGCACAGGACCCACCAGGACCAGGGCTGGAAACCACTAGTGTAGATTAAGATAAAGATTAAGATAGATACATTGGAAATGCAATGCAAAACAAAACACCTTTCTAATTAACACATGATGGATTTGACTTCCAGGGAATGGACTAGGCATTCGTGTGGTGGGAGGTAAGGAGGTTCCGGGCAGCAATGGGGAGATCGGAGCATATGTGGCTAAAGTCTTACCCGGGGGAGCAGCAGAACAGACCGGAAAGATCGTGGAAGGTGAGGCTTTAACGATGGGTGGGTTTCCTATTGAGCCCTGCTTGTTTGTTTAATTGACTGTGAAGTTTGCAGGATGCATCATGATCCCTGCCAAACCCTCAGGTCTTGTGGAAAGGCCAGGCTTGTGACATTTGACGTGGTTTGACATGATGTTTTAGCGAGGATAGAGGAGGATGGGAGGATGGGAAAAAAGAAATAAATAGATGCTGATCTGCATGGTGATTCTTCACCTCCAGGGAGCAGGCATGACTCATTTGTGATGTGAAGAGGTGTAAAGATAGATCAAGTCAGGAGTATAGAGGCGCAGTCTGAGCTTGAGTTTGCTGTAGCCTAGAACAATATTTTTTGCCACACTGATGTGCTGATGACTTTCTCTGTGTTTACTGCAGATGGTAGAGCAAAAAAAAAAGATCACCAGGCAAACTGGGTGTTTTAAAATGGGATGGCTTCTGTTTGTCCAGCTTTGACGTCAGCAGGCCTCTAAACCAGTAGCTGTTTACATGCGGATGTCAGAGAAGCAGAGACAAAATTCATGGTGCAGATTGAGCACAGGAGCCTATTTTTGACACTCTATTAAGTGCCATTTAGAAAACTGCTTGTGAATGTGCACCCATCCAGTTTTGTCAAATATACCCCCAGCATTTACTCTGTCAACGGTAAGTCCACTAGACCTTTCAGCATAGTTGAAAGTGAAACTGTGAGTTCAGGACTTTATAGGTCTTTCCTGGCACTGACCCTGGAATTAGCTTTTGTGAGCCATTTTAATCGTGCTGGATTTTCCGAGCTGTATCGATCACAGATGTAGCTGACAAGGAGCACTAATGCTGTGCCTTTCTTCGGGCGTGAGGTTGCACACAAGGCGCTGTAAATTAAGCTCTCCTCCGTCTTTTGCACTGCACACTGTAGGTCATAATTTACGAGGGGCTGAGGGACTGAGGGACTGGCTCTATCTGTGCTCAAGCTTATTTACGAGTCTTGGGCAAACAGCTGGGCTTTGTGTGACCATCTGCAGCCTTGACTTGTACTGCTATCACTCGTCTTTCTTTCATTTTTTTCCTGTATTTCCTGTCTCTTTGATTTCAGCTATTTCTTATCCTTTCCTTATATCCTGCCCATTCCTCCAGATACATCTTTTTCTCAACTTTTGCTTCTCTGAACACAAAAAAGTCAAAGAGCAGATCTAACCTTTCACCATAATGTTTGCCCTACTTGCCCTGACCTGTCTCTACTCCCATTCCACATTCAGACTATGTTGCAGCCACACAAAAGCAAGTTATTGGGAGTGAAATGTTGAAATGTTTCAGCTCTGGCTGTGTGCACTGGAAGTGCATACAGTGGTTGGCACTGATACCACTGTGCTGTGATTCAATATTACACACAGGCCAGGCAGAATACAGCTGTCCATTCAGCTCCTCTTATTGAATTCCTGCAGCTTTAAGTGGATGCACATGTTAAGTGTGTGAGCTGTAATCGAGTCATGCGCTGAACCTGCAGGGATCCCAAGCATCCATCGCAAGGTGGGAGCATTGCGGCGTAGAAAGAGGGCCTACCTGGCCTACCTCAAGACTCGTTTTCACCTGTGTAAGTGCTCTAAGAGAGCCTCGGTTTGGGTTTGAGTTTGCTGTGGCCTGCTTTATACTTTTGCTCTTTTTGCAGTTCTAATCTCTACCATGTCAGGGGGGTTGTTTTTCTTCATAGGGAGTTATGTGATGTTGCTGTTTTACATGGGCAATATGACAATGTTGTTATCCTAATAATTTACATTCTGTTGTCACAATATGCAAAATTGTGGATTTCTTCAGTACTTGAAAACACTTCCCAACTACATGTGTAATTAAAAACTGAGAACAATTATTTCTGTCTAATTAGATTCAGTGCAGCACAGTAGGTGAAATGTTGAATATTAATCACTGGATTCTCAGTTTTTGATTTTATTTTTAGTATTTTTGTGGTACTACTTTAGCCTGGTGGTCTGTTCCAAGTTATCCGAAGTTGAAATAAATAAATATTGTGGCATGTTGTGTATCATTAAAACTTCTTTAAGTATCATGATATTACATTTTTGTCATATTGCCCAGCTCTATGATGTAAGACATGCTTAAGCAGTGCTTATTGCTGATTGCGCATGTCTATTTGTAGGAATGCAGGTCCTGGAATGGAATGGCATCCCCCTGTCTAGCAAGACATATGAGGAGGTCCAGGGATTGGTCAGTCAGCAGTGTGGAGAGGCGGAGCTATGCGTCAGACTGTGAGTAATAGATTTTGTCATTTTTAGCACACATTTAAAAATCTGACTTCATTGATATATAATTAGTCAGGTTTTCAAATCCAGCTCATGGTGGTCTGATCTTTATTTCTTTTGCTATATTCTGTGTCAGGGATTTGAACATGCTTTCAGATTCAGAGGGCTCCCACTTGGACCTTCATGAGCAGGCCAAAGCAGGTACAAAAGGCATTACTTCATTAACAATTTAATACCTTAAAACCAGACCTAAACAAATATAATATTCACATGAACTACATTGCTTAGTACATTGCTTTTATTGCTTTTATGCCTTTTATATAAGCCCATGGATTTTCTTAGGCATACCAGAGCATGCATTCTCAAACAGCTCACCTTATTAAATAAAGGAGAAAAAAAAAGAAATATTTAGCCGCTGTGTAAATAGATTTCGTCTACTTTGCCTGTGACTGTGTGTAGAACGTCCTCCACGTTCGCCAGGCGTGGACCCCAAGCAGCTAGCTGCGGAGCTGCAGAAGGTGTCTCAGCAACAGGTGCCCAGTTCCTCAGCCTCCTCTCTGACAGCATTGGACAAAGGCTCAGCTTCAGGTGCCTCCAGTGCGGTGCCCAGCCCAGGGCAGCCTGGCTCACCTTCCATCAGCAAGAAACGCCACAGCAAGGTGCCCACACTCATAGACATACCTGCGCGGACATATACATCTAATAGTATCAGTGCATTCAAATAGACTTTCCACAGTAGTTCGGAACAGGAGGGATAGGGATGATGCAAAAAAGAACATTTTACATTTGTAGATGCACATCTACAAAGGCTGCAACTAACGATTCTTTCTATAATCAGTTAATCTTTTGACTATCACTAGATAATTGAACCATTATGCGTTCTGCCATTTCCTTCACTTTGCCTGTCACAGTGTTGCTATCATTCAGAGTTCTCTCTGTAAGAGAACAGATTTCTTCTGTTATAGCACAACAAAACAATTGAAGCCTTATCGCCCCAGTGCTTCCTGTAGCACAGTGCAATCTGTTGGCTGCATGCAAGATGTAAACATTATAGAGTATTACAAACCATTTGCATTATAAACCATTTTGTTTTTGAATTAAAAAAAACATGTTCCATGATCAATTTCATCTAACAACTATTACATTTTTGCCCTAATATCTACCATTTTGATCTTTTCATCAGACTTCAGAAGCTGCAAAGGCCCAGTCCCACCCGGTCACTGGAGAGATCCAGGTATCTATCACAATAACGCTGATCCATTTCTGTTACTATTATTTGACATACTTTGAAGATAGACTCGATATAGTTGTAGACTGTAGCATGTGTAGCATTTCACCGCCACTGTACTGTGTCTCACACGCTGTTCATCTTGCCTGCTTTTTGCAGCTTCAAATCAATTATGACAAACAGCTGGGGAACCTCATCGTTCACGTTCTCCAAGCTCGGAACCTGGCGCCCCGTGACAATAACGGCTACTCAGATCCCTTTGTAAAAGTCTACCTGCTACCTGGGAGAAGGTAGGGAAACTGCAGTGACCTGTTTAGACTCAGCACTGCTTGATTATTTTAGGTCAAATTCTAGTGTTACATATTGAAATGCTTTAAAAAATACTGTGTCTACCACATTTCTTTCTTAAAGATACCATTGCAGAATCAGTCTGTCTCTTTGATTTTGTTGTTCTGTGTCAATTGATGAAATAGCCAGACTCTTTTATCCAATAATAATGAACAGTTTGCGAGTTTGGACAATGCTTTCAACATATGGTCATATGAACGGAGACTGTCTGACTGAGGGAGGAGAGAGAACTCTGAGAACTTGCACTAGAGTTCTGGAGTTTCTTCTTCTTGAAACCAGCCATTTTTTTGGATGAACTAACAGATTTTTTGTAGGACTGACGGATAGAACTGAGGAGCAAGGAGGAGATGGGGTGGCAGTGGGATTACAAAAATTTTGTCAAGGGTAACGGAAGGTAGCGAAGAGAATTTAATTGGTGTTACTTTGGAAGGAGGAGGGGTTTCAGACATGGGTCTCTCCCCAAATTCAGTTATTCCTGCAAAGACTAGAGTTATAAATCTGCACATTCTGACCTTCTCCACATACTGTCTGTAAAATACAGAAAACATGGAGAGGCTTTTTTCATTTACTATACTTCTAAACTGCGGAACTCGATTCCATCATTTTATTAAAAAAAACTTTCAAATTAATCTTTTAAGAAACATTTGAAAATTAATCTTTTTAATTTAGCTTTAATTAAGCATTCTACCTCAGTTCTACCTATTCTCCTTTGATATTTATCTTTTTAATTTGATGTGTCATTGCTTTGCATAAATTTTAATTAATACTCAACTTATTTTTTTCTTATTTAATTTTTATTTCCCCTTTATGTTATAGTTGCAAAACAGTTACTACAATAGAAGAAATCAAAATCAACTCTCAGTTTCCGCTATTGTAAAGCTCTTTGAGCTGTCACTATGAAAAGTGCAACAAACAATGTTATTATTCTCATAACTTATTATTCCATACATCAGTTTAGTCTTCAAAAGGACCCTTTAAAAGTCTACCTATGTTATGTTATAATCCTGGTTAAGTCCTGGTTATGTACTTCAGATTGTTTGTGTGTGTGTGCGTGTGTGTGTGTGTGTGTGTGTGCGTGTGTGTGTGTGTGCTTGTGTTTTAGAGTGCTGTTTGAGCCAGCATAATAGGAAAATCAATATGTCTGCTTGGTTTATGTGCAACTTGAGAGTTGCTGTGCCCTGAGTTGTTGCGCATTTGCGTGTTTGTTGCTGTGTATATGTGTGTATTATGATAGGACCATCACCAGTTATCATTTGACCATACATTACCTGTATAGAGCAGAATACAGGAATGCTATTGCTGAGCTCCATATGGGCATGTACGCATGAGCTCCTGCATAGGCATCAGCACACACACACACACACACACACACACACGCACACACACACACACACACACACATTTACACACTAGATTTTTAAGCATAGCCTCGCATGAGCTAATCCATCTCAGTCACACTGTTTCTCTCACTCATTCTCTTTCTCTTTCTCTCTTGCTTTCTCATACAAACACACACACACACACACACACACACACACACACACAAAATCACTTCCTCACGCCTTACGGATTGTTGTCTGTTTCTGCTGCATGCTGGATCCCCACAGTCAGGTCATGGTTGTGCAGAATGCCAGGTATGTGATTCTCTCCTACAGTACCATCAGATTCTTATCTCATATGAATGGCTCAACAAAGTAGCTTTTATTTCTTTGATCTTCGGTTGCTTTCTTACATGTATGTTGTCTTTTATCTTTTTTCTGCATCACTGGACATTTGCACACTTTCATAGCTCATAGACGTCACTGTAAATGATGTGTAGGCCTGGGTCACTGCAGACCTGTATGGTGCATTGTGCTTTGTGTACTTCATTTTTCATTGAGAACATGTGAACTGTGATGTGCTGGTTCATATCAGAATCAAATTTGGTCCAAATCAATATCCAAAAACATTTGACTTTTGACTTCAGGGTCAAGGACGTACACTTACTGGATATACAAAAATGCATTTATAATAAGAAGTATTTTAATACTTGAGGCTGTACTTGTCATACCTAAATGAAACCATCTGTGAGGTGCTGTACTCCAAGCGTGATTACAGTACATTGTTTGTGATATTTTGGTCCTTTTGCTAATGCCCTGGAGTGACCCCTTGTGGTGTATGACCTGATTGCAGTGCTGAGAACAAGAGAAGGTCCAAACATGCCCAGAAGAGCTTGAACCCAGAGTGGAATCAAACAGTCATCTACAAGAATATCCACCTGGAACAGGTGAACTGCATACCATCCTCTTAAATACATTATTAGTTTACCAGCCCCAAGGGGAGCAGCATTATTTGAAGTTTTTAAATGTTGTCCCATTCTGTTTGAAACTATGAAACATTATAAATAAAAAATATTTTTTTAAAAATGATGAAACTTTATAAAACTTATAATCAGATTGCATTATAAGATAGCATGAAATTGGTACACAAGACTAAGGATGTGTTAAGACAACAGGACAAAAGCTCAAATCAGGTTTGTTTTTTCTTTATTTGAACAGGTATGTGCATTTAGAAAGGCATAGGGTACTGTACTGAAATGAATGTTTCAGATATGAAAACAATATGATTATGTGATTGCAATTTAGACCCATGATTATACACTTATTGGATATTACTATCTAAATGATCTTGTATTAAGAATACATGTCTGGGGACAATTGGTAAACTTTTGCATCAAATTCTGGTGCTAACAATGGTACGCCTATCCCCCCATAATCCATACCCGAATCCCTCTAACCCATATTCTCCTAACATCCTGAGTACAATCGAAAACACAAGCAAAACAAGCTAGCTAGCAAAATGCTATCGTTATCTAATGAAACTGTGGTAACACTTTACTGTAGGGTGCTGTTCAAAAGGCTACATGACACCTTGTCATGATAACTGACATAACCCTACGGAAATGTTTATAAAGGCTTATTCCAAAAGGTGTCATCTGTCATAAAGGCTACTTTAGGTAACTTTGATCAAAACTGGCAAATATAACTTTTATACTTAATTATGCCTATTGGAATAAGCAGGTATAAACATTTATGTAGGATTATATCAGTTATCATGACAAACTTACGTAGGTGTCATATAGCCTTATAAACAGCACCCTACAATAAAGTGTTACTGAAACAGTTTTTCTTTTGCAAGAGGTAATGTTTATTATTACCGCATACATGTGTTTTCGCACAGGCAGCACACATCTACATGCTTATTTGGGTTTGTTTGGGGTACTTTTCAGCCATCCTAACTTACGTTACATTACGCTAACAAGCTTGTTGTCTGTCTGACAGTGTTGACAAGTGCCCCCTACTCTGAACTCTGAATTCACAAGACGTTGGAATGATTTACTAATTTCACACCCTAAAAGGTCTATGATCCCACATTTAGCCCAGGGTTATCTCCATCATTAGGATATTATGTGTGAACCTGTAAGACTAAATGGCTATAGGACAAACTGCATTCACCGTTTATTGCCTCTCTAAATGAATCCAGCGTGTCACCACAGTATAGAAGGTCAGCGCCTGTGGTGATTGTATCAAGAAATGAAAGTGCTGGGAATCCATAAACCTATATGGCCCAAAACCTTCAGACAGGAATCTTAAATGGAGGCCCTCACTCTTTGTGAGATTGCACTTTCAAAAATCAACAGCCCATAACAGTACTGAAGTCTCAATTAGATAAGAGCCCTTCAGAGGCAATCCCGGGCTTTGGTGTGAACAGGGACCAGTCTCCAAGCTCCCAGAAGTGCTTTAGCTTAATTAAGACCAAAGAGCTACTTCAGTCTCCTCAGCTTTTAGAGGCAGCTAATGACAGCACTGATTGATACACCGTCACTCGACTGTTGAGCCGAGGCGAACAGGTCTTAATTGAGAGAGAACAGAAGGTAGAGAAGTGTGTAGAGAGTCAACTTTTGCTAGAAAACCATCTGGATTTCCTTGCTTCAGTGTTGTTGAGATTGGTGTAGCAACTGTGTTGTGTATGTGTGTTTAGCTGAGAAAGAAGACACTGGAGGTCAGTGTGTGGGACTATGACAAGTGCTCCTCCAACGACTTCCTGGGAGAGGTAAGAATCAGTTCATTTTCACTACCATTCAGATGGTCATTCAAGATGATTGTCATTATTGTCATGCTATGCATCATTTGTCGTGTATTTTTTGAGAATTTTGGGAACAAGAAGTTTTTAAATGATAAACTGTTATTACTGCAAATAGCATTCTGGATATTGATATTATTAGAACCTCATTCTTGATGCACTGATGAAGAATCATTCTCAACCTGAACCCTAGCTTCCTAGTAATTATTTGAAACTTGAGAAGTTGAACAGGACTTGGATATTAAAGTTGTTTTTGTACCAGGGAAAACAGTGACTCCAAATATTTGAACAATAGTGTACACAAACACTCACATACACACAAAGTCACGTGCACGCAGACAGCTGGTGCATTATGTAACGAGGTTGTGTGGCATGGTGTAGGTGCTGATAGACCTGTCGAACACGGCTCAGCTGGATAACGTGCCACGCTGGCTGCCACTGAAGGAACAGAGCGAGGGGGAGCACCACCGCCGCTCTCACTCGAGCCAGGGCCGCCAACACTCACCCAAACCACCCGCCGGACACTCGCCCAAAACCTCCGGCCACGGCGGCCAGGACTCACCCAAATCCTCAGTCATCAAGAGCCGCAGCCACGGCATCTTCCCTGACCCTGCCAAGGGTAGGACATGCGTTTGTTCCTCAGGTCTTTAACACTGGATTCACACTGTTTCCTGTCTGGCTGCCCTTCCTGCATCTCTCCCCATCCCCTCCCCACTTAGTCTGGCTCTCTCTATTTTGCTGTCTTTTCAATCCTCGCTTTACTGTCCCTGTCTTTTCTCTCTCTCTTCTCTCTCTGGCCAGTCTATATCAATCACTCATCGTAGCTTTGGCTCCATGCTCTTTCCATATATGTATGTGTCCCGCTCATTACAGCGCTGCGCTCTACAGCGCTTCATCCTAGCTTTCCCACGCAGGGTGAGACAAGGTTGCCTAACCATCACATTAGTTGTGTCAAATAGATCCTCAACAACTGGTACTAAATAACCTAAATAAAGTGCTAAACAGTAACCTGGACTCTAAAATAGACACATGAAGAAAACCAGCAGTAAAAGGCCAGTAATATAGGGTATATTGCAAAAACGCTCCCACAGCAAACCAGCGCCTCTCTCACGGCTCAAGCAGTTTGACTCATGTGCAAATGTGAACACCACTCTCATTTTGTTTGGGTAATCAGTTATTTCTTAAAATGGTCCTACATTAAACTTTTGTGGCTAACAGCTAGCTAGCTAATTCACATTAAGCTATCGTTAGCTAGCACTGATGTTAGCTAGCACTGACGTCAGCTAACAGTAACTTAATACTGGATAACTACGTATGTCTTTGAATAGATATTTAAATGCTTCTATCATGACTACTGTTTATGTTTTACATTGACCCAATGATAGTTGCTGCTTCTTCTCAGTGCTGTGAATATCTGGCTATAAAAATGCATGATTAGCAGTAGTTATGCTAGGCATCTAACGGCATGACAGACACCATCACTGTCAGAACAAAATCTCATATCTCCAAACTGGTAACAAGTAATGCTGGAACATTTCTGTTGGTCTGTTCATTCTGTTCATCATAAGATTTTACCTGGAGTTTTGGATCAAAGAAGTAAAAAATGACAAAATGGAAATACAAGTGTTTTGCATGACAGTGACAATCTGTTAATGTAATACAATAGCTAACTAATTACTAAAATGACACAAGCATAGTCCATTAACCCCTTAAATAGCCAGGACCCACCAGCAGGCCCAAAGTTTTATTACATACTTCTATAACCTAAAAATAGCTCAGCCAGTTCAGTTTGCATTGTAGTTACTGAATAATCAGCCTTAGTAAGTAATAAACCTGCGATTTTACAGGATTAATGTTATGCTTATTGTAGTTAAATCATTAAGATGATTTATACTGATATAAGTACCCACATACAAATACAGTTACCATCATTTGTCGTATTTCAATACGTGTGGTCTCTTTTGCACATGTTTCAAGGGAGGTCCTGAGAGTTGTGGACCGTGAGAATGGCTTCTGGATTCGTATCATATTCGAAAAAGGGAGAAAAGCAGGAAATTAGGGACTTGGTGTAGTAATTTGGTTCTGGTTGTTTTAGACACGCAGGTTCCTACTATTGAGAAATCTCACAGTAGCCCCAGCACATCGAAGCCATCTCCTTCCGAGGGTCAAGCTCGTTCCCATGGGACCCCCCGCGCTCACAGCAAAAGTGGCGCGGCCCGGGCACACCCTGATGACGCCGCGGCAACGGCCGAAGCTGCCGGCCAACACCGCCTCCAACCAAGTAAACGACGCAAATAAAGCCTCCACAGCATGGCTGCCTTCACACTCATCTGTTCCTCTTCCTGTTCTTTTTTTTTGCTACCCCCTTTTCGTCCTTTTTTTTGTATTTTCTCTCCCTTGTTCTGGTCCCCTTGTGGTCACAGTCTGTTCACCTCACTGCTTCCTCTCCTGTGTGTTCTCACCTGTGTACTGGAGACACTTTACCACTCTGCACGCACGAGCACACTCGCACACACTCACGCATGTAGAGCCCTATTACTGTTCCTGCAAACTCTAAGAGCCAGTTAACTTAAAGAAGTAAACATTTTAAAGCTCCAAATGTAAATAAATGTTATGTTAATGTGAATAAAATGTACATACTTCAAATAATATACATCCTTAGATCATAATAAATATTTATTAATATAGCTTAATAGAAGAATAAATATTTTTTAAACCAGAGCATAATAAAGCAAAGAATCAAACAATATTTAAACAACTATTAATGCATTAATAATAATATAAATCAGACGCTTATCTTAACCATAGCAGCAGTTGCTAACTGCTGTCTCTAGTAAGGCAGATGCTTTGATCCAAAATCTAATGCAGCACATAAAATGCACATCAAATGAAAAGAACTCTGACCCAGTTAAGCACATCAGTGCACATAACCCAACAGGCTTAAATAGGATGCCTACTAAGCCACTGCGGGTCGACCTGTCAATCTCTGTCAGAGAATCTGACCCGATCTGTCAGGAGCCGAGTCATGCAGACCTCCTCTGTATGCCAGGAGGGCGTTTAGAAGGGGGTGCCTACATGAGCACATCTGACTGCTGCTGTATCCAAGACTGGAAAAATAGCTGGGGTCGCCCCTGTTATTGTCAAATTAGGGCTAGCTCAGCTGCTATGGGACATCCCTTGCCAGCGCACAACACCCTGAGCACAAAGAGCAGCATTTGAGCCAGCTTTCCTCGCTGGCCAGTTATCTTGGTCCCCCTCTGCACTTCTTTGCTGACTCCTCTATTTTTTGGAACCCTTGTCATTCTGTTATCCCACCGGGTCGCGTGTTCGGTTTCCGAACGACCCCCCGGCTTTTTCTGCAGCTAATCTCCCTCCACTGAGCCGGCTGTGCATGTGGCCTCTGCTGCCCGCAACCACCCTGCCAACCCCTGCCTCCTCTTCCTCTCTCCCTGTGGCTACTGCTGGCCCACAATGCACCTCAGTGGATGCGCTACGCCCCCCCAACCCAACCCAACCCAATCCCCCTTGACCCAACCGCCCCTTTGCGGCCAGGGGGGCGCGCACTGTGGCTGCATGTGACTATGAAGTATAGTAAAAAGCTGGTGGTGTCCATGTTGTAAGGAGTTCATACTCTGAGTCTCCATCTCGTCCCTCCCCCCCAACCCTTCCCTAACTTCTCCCCAAAACCCCCGTCCTCCTCCCCCCCTCCCCCGACCCTTCGGCTTGTACGTGGCCTTACCACTACCTCCCCCCAGCCCAAAATGGCCGCCTCTCCCTGAGGCACCACAGACACAGCGTAGTGGGCGTGCTCACCATACAGAAAGCGGCGGCCAATGAGATCACTGATGGCCGTCACCTGACCCTCCGCAAAGCCATGTCGGAAGAGAGGCCACAGCTGGACGGAGGTGAGAGTCGCAAGTCACAAGTGCAAAAGTCAAAGAGCGAGAGAGAGAGAGAGAGAGAGAGAGCGAGAGAGAGAGAGAGAGGATGCTGAGTTACTAACGCACACCTGTAGAGAAAATGAAGGGGCCTAGACACTCTGCCACTCCACAGATAATTCATGCTGCGACACTCAGCCTTGTCCCACAGTCCACAACGTGCTTCACTAAAACCAGAATCAGAACAAATACAATAGACCGTCACCTGTAGACATAAAGGCAACTGTAGAGGTGACCCATGCAACCTTTGTGTGACCTTGGCAAGAAACTAAGTGGATGCCTGGTGTTAGTGAAGCTGTTGGAGCCAGCGTTGGGGAATCTGTGCCGAGAAAGCTGTGCGCATGAATTATGTGTTGTGCCAAAATCATGCATTCCACCTCGCACCATCACCCATCACTCAGCCACACAGCCACATGGTACAACATCTCTATAAGGCTTAATAAGGAAATTAAAATGTACAATTGCTCAAATATGCTTAATTATAATTAACCACAATTTAAATAGAATTACATACACGTACCAGAATTAGGCTAATGCGATTATTCAGACTAAACACACAAGTTGCTAATACACTGGAATTACTAATTAACAGTTTAATGCTTTCTTCTGTCTGTCAATGCTTCTGCTGCTGTTTCTTTGGTGTTTGCTCTGCATATCTATGTTCTGTAAAGTTTTGTGTTATATGGTGACATGTCATACGCTCTCTACTTGTGGCCAGTAATGTCTCATAAATGTATTAGTGTATATATATATATATATATATATATATGTATGTATGTATGAATGTATGTATGTATGTATGTATGTGTGTGTGTGTGTGCGCGCATGTGTGTGCATGTCTGCATTAAGACTGCTTATATTACTCATATAGAGGGTAGAAGTCAGGAATAAGTGGACAGGATCTGTGGAGGGGTTTGGAAGCCGTGCTGGTCCCCTATCCTGAATGTATTTTACTCCTGTGTTGCTGGGTAATGGCATCATAAGCCAGGAGTACTTATCCATTCAAGTGAATAGGACAATTGTATAACTCATGTAGTACACTCTCAAAACAGCATCCCGCAGCCATAGATCTGCTGATGCCCCTGTTACTGCAGCCTCACTGGACAGCGGTCTGAGTGGCAGTGCATTCAGCCTACTGGAAGAAGAGGGTGACACCAATGCAGTGGACAGTGCCATCTTCCAGGTTCCCAGATTGTAAGTTTCCACTTGCTTACAATGCAGCATCAAATGTACTCATTGATAACTAACTCGTAGAAAATACATTAATGTTATTAATATTCTGCACTATTCTGTCCTATTGATTGTACCATAGTGTGTTAAACCTACGCAAATGTCATGTTATTTGAGTAAACTGGAAAGTGGATGTGTTTGAACTATTGCTATTTGAGTTGTTTTACTGCAGTGCTCTTGCATATTGTCACTGTCGTATGACAATCTATCCCCAAATTGGCAGAGAAGAAGGACAAAATACTCTTAACATTACTGTACTGTAATACAATGTGATATGACATTTTATTCCTACTCATTTTGGACTATTTCTCTCTGTCCATTCGTCATGAAATCTTCACAGGGCAGTTGGTGGGCAGTGGGGCAGTTGGTAAAGGGTGTAAAATTTAAAATAAATTAAAAAATGTTGCATTTTTTTTATATGGCAACGAAGACATAAGTGTTCAGTTTTTTGCTGAGTTTATTTTAATCCATTGTTCTTCTTTCATGTAGTGGAAAAATTCCAAATGGCACAGACGTTGTAAAGTCATTACATGGAGACACAGAGGGTAAGTGTGTGTGTGTTATTCAGCCTTTAAGTGTTCTCATTAGTAATGACAGGGACATTGTCATGAGTCATCTGTCACCTTTAGAACACGGCTAACAGTTTGGGACACGATTTTACAAAAATTTATTGATATAATTACGTCACAAAATGGACACACGTACACACACACACACACACACACACCCCCACACACACACTGAACAAATAATACTCTGTCATGGTTAATCAAAGGAATCTTTATCCAAATGTTCATATGCTCACTGCATGCATTTTCAGTGCTGCCAAAATATTGACTTATTATTGATTTTGCATAAATGTAACAGTCCCAAAATATAATAAAAAGTGATGTTTTCATGGCTAACCATTAATGGTAACAGAATGTCCTCCACAGACCTGTAAGAGTTTAATTGTCTACGGGGAAAATAACACATCAGAGCCATTTGGGGAAAAAACGTTAATAAGTGTTAACTGGATTTTTGCAATAACTTTCTGAAAATTGTCTCAAAATTTCATGAGAAACATTTAAAAAATCAAGAAACTTTCAAATCCAACAGCAACAAAAAAAACTACTTCTCAAATATTACACAAAGCAAACTGTGCCAGCTGTGATATTCGTTCACTCTTACCAGCACACACACTTACACACACGCAGACACACATGCCGTAATGTCAGTACAGTCCCTGTCTCCCTAATAAACCCAGAGAGACAGATTTCACAAGAGACATTTAGTTGCTATGGTTACGAATAGCACGGAAGAACAGTTCTGCCTTTTTTTGAGAAACTACTTGTCCGAGTTTGATTGACATATCACACACTTGCTTAGCCTTTACATGTGCTCTCTGTCAAACTGAATAAAATGTATGTATATTTTTATCATGTATTACTTCTCACTACTTTCTTTTATTGCCCACACCCATCTTCGTACCTACAGTACCTTTACTCTCTCTTATTTTTGTTATTTCAGCCACACACATACAAACACATCTAAAACAATCTTGGACTGTAGGTTGTGTGGGGGTGAGATCACAATCTATTTTCATCTAAGCACAGAAAACTGTTAAGGTGCTAAGCATTTCCACACAAATTATTCTCTGGAAGAGTTAGTGTGCGATGGTTAGGTTTGGTGAGCCACATGTACCGGATGATGGTAATTCTCTAGCTTGTTTCCTGTTGGCAGAAACCCTCCAGGTGGTCATGGCACACTGTGTGATACTCAATCCAGCATCCATGTTCTCAACAGACATCAGAATTGTTGAAGCCACTGTTAGGACAATGAAAATCAAATAATGGTTTCAAATATTTTCATTTAATTTATTTAATTAAATAGTCTTTCCAACATTATTAATTGTAATTATATAAAAAGATGAGCTGAACCTGATACTGCAACAGTTTTGTGGCTGAATCGGAAATGCAAAAGGCTGCTACTGGAGGGATGGAGAGAATTGCCTATATAAAAGCACATTGATGCAATGTTTGGGACTTTTGCTTTATTTATTAGTTTTTTTGAAGAACTGTTGTATAAACGCAATATAACATTTAAGACTGTGATGTTATCAATGAAAACAAACTCCCTCTTGTGTTCTATGGCTTAAATAAAACATGCCAATTTGATATGAAACACTGAATGATGTTTGTTTATAGCTTTTGATTATTTTCATAACAGGTATCTTTAACTTGGTTACAAAGGGATTTCCACAAAAATCAACAAAACAGCAAAGAAAGCTCATAACATGAAGGATATTACTTTAAAGATGTCTTGGTGTATGTCAAAAAAAGTGAGACATGAGGTTGGTTGTGTGGGAACAAGAGACAATGACAGAGCAGGAGAAAGGTGGGTTTTACCAGCCATATTCTGGTATTAATAACTTTCTTTGTGGCATATGTGTGTGTGTGTGTGTGTGTTTGTGTGTGTGTGTTTAGGCAAAACTCAGGTGATGGGGGAGATAAAGATTGCTCTGAAGAAGGAGATGAAGACTGAAGGAGAGCACCTAGTGCTGGAGATTCTTCAGTGCAGAAACATCACCTACAAATTCAAGTCTCCTGACCACCTGCCAGGTAACAGACAAAACACGTGGAAAAGCATATTCATAAAACCTACAATGGCCAGCTTGATCATTTTTCAACTCATAATTTATGTGTATGTGTACATGCTAATAGCAATATTCTTGTGTGAGTGTGTTATATTAATTAATATTTGTCAATTTATGTACGCATTCAATAAACCAATGTCCTAAACAAGTATATGCATTTGTGTTTATTAGATATTAGATATACTGAGCATACTTGTCCTTATATACTAACACTACTACACATACACACGTCCTCACTGCCTTTCGTTTTAAACAGACCTGTATGTGAAACTCTATGTGGTGAACGTGGCCACTCAAAAGCGGATCATTAAGAAGAAAACTAGGGTGTGTCGCCACGACCGCGAACCATCCTTCAACGAAACCTTCCGCTTCTGCATGAACCCCACAGGACACTCCATTCAGGTGAACTACACATTTACTGTAGAACACCCCCCTCCAAAAAATTATTTGTTCTACAGATCAGTCCTCAGTGACCCCCAGATGGTCCACATTTTTGCTCCAACCCAACTCAATGTTTAGGGATAGAGCAAAAATGCAGACTGTCTGGGAGTCCCTGAGGACCAGTTTGAGAACCACTGACTTAGAGCACAGTAAAAATAGCTGGATTAGCAGCAACTTAGCAGATAAAGGATCCACATCAGGTACAGAAGGACTGCTAGTAGCTTTTCAAGCCACCAGAGCTGTTCACATAGCATGCGACTTCTTCGACCACTTAGCTCCACCACAGCCTTGAAAAAGTGCCATGTCATTTTTTTCCCCACAGCTCTTCCTGGTTTCAAACGGGGGCAAGTTTGTGAAGAAGACTCTGATTGGTGAGGCCTATGTGTGGCTGGACAAGGTGGACCTTCGTAAGCGGGTGGTCAGCTGGCACAAACTGCTGGCCACTACGGCCCAGATCCACTCCTAGAGGAAGCATCATGTAGAGAGAGCACCGGGCACTGTAGTTCCACCTCCCCAACACACTCTGTGAGTCTCGCAGGACAAGGCCAGGCTGGAGTACAGAAGGTGACGCAAAGAGAATCACACGTGTCGCTCTCACTGAGGAATTGTGGTAATGTGAGCTGTGAGTAGAGGCAATAGAGCCAAGAGATGAGCTGCTTACATGAGTGTTTCCTCCGTTTACATGGAAGTGCCGGGGAGGCTCAAAAGTTAGTCGTAAAAAGAAATAGAGCAACAAGGATATAAAGTCAGATATTTACACATATTTATGCACATGTACACTCAAACTCAAACACACACCATTACACTCACCCACAAGGCTCATGCACCCGTGTTTGTACACATATTTGTACCTACATATGTTGTCAATGGGCCACAAAGGACTAGAGATCAGGATGGAAATGTGTATATTTTGTTGGCTTTTATCATTATATTGCATATTTTTAACTTATGACTGCCAAGTCCAGGTTCTGGAACTCCTCATATAAAAACTTCTGTATCAGTACACTGTATCACGCTTAGAAGAAGGTTATGATTATGATTGTTTGCAGAAGGAAGATGAACACATATCTCATATATTATTTTTGTATGATAGAGTTAGATTCATTATTAGAGACATTTATCACTATACATTTGTCCCCTATCTCAGATGTTATAATGTGTTAAAAGAACAGATCATTTCTGTGGATTTAAAGTATATTTTAAGATATTTTATAGCTATAGATTTAAATGACTGAAATATGATTTATTGGATGTTGTGGAATGCTTTTGGCTGGTATGTACTCATATTATCTCACACGGAAATAGCACTGACCTGCTTTAATGGGACATTCGATCTGAATTCGGTTGAGCTACATTCCTCTTTAGAAACTATTCTTTAGGGATGGCACTGGCTTATTGACTGAATCTGACATCTTACACAATGGAGAAATTTTTCATTCTCATTCAGGAATCAGACAGATCAGATTTCTAATTGGTTAATTACTTTATTTTTATAGATCAGTGTGGCCATGGGATGTTGCAAATGTTTAAGTTAAACTGTTAAGTCCAGCAACATTAAAATAGATGTTTTGCACTTTGTCTTTAGCATGTCCTGAATGTAATGGTTGGTAGTGTTTGGTAAAATTATTTACTAAAAATCCATTAGTAAAATTACTATTTTTCCCCCTCAAGCAGACAAGAAATAAGATTCCCTGATTGAATATGTCTGTTTGACCTGAATTCCTTACATACAGTGTTTAAACTGGTTGGTTAAAGGCCTCAGAACAGCCTTGGGTGGATTCCTACATATGTTTGGGGCCTATTTAGCCTCAGCTTCTGCTATTCATGTACACATACTTGAGTCAAGTGGGAATAAGGAAAGGATCTATTATTTTACATGCCTTTTTTCTTGCAAATCATTGTGGCTGCAATAATAGAGTTTACCAGATATGAAGTGAGTTTTATATGTCTGCTTAAGACTAATCTAAACCCCAAGTCCTTATTGTCTGGAAATGCTGTTGCTACACACAAAATCCACAGTTCTGCACTGAGATGATGTGCCATTAATGTGCGCTATTGTTTTTGTATTTAAAGAGTTTTTAAACTTTTTGTTAATTCAACTTTCATACTTTCTGCTAGCGGATGCCATAACCATTATCCCAAGAGAGGACACGACGTAGCCATTAACCTGGATATTTCAAAGCCAAACTCCTCATGCAGTCCACACATTTCATTTGGTTGTGCAGGGTCATACACATGAAGGCCTGGTTATGAGGAAATTTTAACCTGTGCCAAACCTTGACCAAACCCACAGGTTTTACGTAAGCAATTCTATGCAACCTCTGGTGTATCTACTACTTAGTTGTCAGATGAAGTATTATGAATGAGAGGTCTTTTTTACATTTTTGTATGCTTTTTTCTTTCTGTTTGTCTTTGGTCGATGCTTTATCACTGAAAATTTTAATGCTATTTTGAGATTCTATTTATGTTATGATATGCAACATTACAAAAATGAAGATTACATATAGAACCTTTACATTCCATCCAAGAGCTAGTTCATGAGAAAGATCTGATGTACATAAATGAAGATAAATATTAACATTTTGTTGTGTAGTGCACAATGTACATTGTGTGTTTACAAAATTTGACTAACTGTCAAATGTGTATTTATGAGCCCTTTCACTCCAAAACAGTCACGTAATACAGAATCAACTTGGTTCACAAAAAATAAAAATTACGTAAAATGTGAAAAGCCCCAAAAAGATGTTGCCATGTACCAAATGCTCCTCTGAACAAACATTCATGCCTATTTTTTTCTCCATACAAATGTTAATTTCCTATTGAATCACACTCTTCCTTTGAATATTCAGTGCATGACGACATTATACCCACTTCACCAGTGACATATGAAAATAGAGTATTTCGTATCTTGTAAATAAAACAATCTTTCTTTTCTACAGATAGAATCTTATATTATTTTTTCTGTTAAACACAGCGCATGTGTAAGAGCACAGGGCAAGGGGAACTCTCTTAGTCCATGTGTATTCTGCTCAGCACATGCTCTAGTGGAAGGATAATCGCCGTGCTTGCCTATGACAAACTGGACTCTACCTGCACAACAGACACATAATTTAACAGTGTATAGAAATGAGCTAAAGCTGACCCTGTTGACTCAAGTAGTATCAGGAGACCTGTGATGTACTAACTTTGGATGTTGCATGTTTCGTTGGTGGTTTGTTCATATTATTTTTGTGTCCAGATTCTATTCTACAATAAGAAAGACAAGACTATGGGGAAAAAAAAATAATGAAATTATTATCTAAAGATGTATGCTGACTGTACAAAGATATGCTTGTATAATCTGTCTGGTTTTCCACTCAATGTAAACTGAAAAACACACAAAAAAAATCTAATGTCATGGTTTTTGTGGTTGTACACAAACGGTATTGATACATTATGCAAAATTGTGCTGTAAAAAAGGCTGTTGCCCTAAGTCTAAATATTAAATAAAATATGTAAAATTCTCACAGAGATCGGCTCTTATTTAAATCACACTTGAATCTGTACACCAGAAATACAGTCTTTTTTTTTTCTCATGATATAAAATAAAGTGTATTTATGTCTGAGAAATCACTGCAGCTAAATGACCATTTTTTGTCCTTTCTGATATTAACAACTTCTTATGTTACCATTTGTCGTATCAGTGAGTCCAGTCAATTTGAACTGTGGTATAAAAAGTAGGAAGTCCAGTCGCCTTGACTTTCTATACTACTACTAAAAAATTCAATGGCCTGGCTGACTGAAAACCTTCACAGCCTTTCCAGACAGACTGCCACAACTAGAAGCTTAGACTTAGGATGACCAGTGCTGGTGCTATTTCAACCTAGAGATAAGTGATACGGCAAACATATATATCATGATACTTGAAGACATTTTCACAATACACAGTGTCACGATATTTATTTTCTCAGACATCTGATCAGTTACAACTGAGGAAAAAGAACCAGTAGCGTTAAATTAAAAACAAAAAAATACAATACATGAAAACAATGATTTTATTCAGTATTTGGCATACTGTGTTACACTAAAACCAGTTAAATGGGACTAATTTTTCTCTATAATGAAACATACAGTTGGTCAGTCTTCTACAAGTACTGACGATATACACAATATGTTCAGAAAAGCATACTGTATTGTATTGTGACATAATTTATGACAATAATGATATATGCTGTCATAGTGTCCAGCCCTATTTCAGCACCTCCTGACTGGGGCTTTACAAAGGAAATCAACCATAAATTGGAATATTTGAGTTCTAAAGAAAAGATAGATGATTTTGAGTCCACTAGTCTTTGCCATATTTGCATTTTATTATCATTTGATCTCGTTATTTGCATATTAGTATTTTTGTATAATTGTAAGCATTTTAGCTAGAATTAGCACATTTTAACATAGTGTTATTGTGCTTTCATTCAAATTTAGCCCTTGTGCTAGCACGCTAAAAATTCAATAGCAAAGAAATTGTTTAATTATTCAAAAATAAATTTTAAACTACAGGGTGATTCAAATAGATTCATCCAATTTCAAAATGATGTGTTTCACTTGTAAATCATTACAGAACAATGCAGTAAATTGTAAATGGTTTAAATGAGCATAAAGTTTATTATGTAATTTTACAAGTGCTCAGTATGAACCTCCTCCAGCTGTATGGACAACATCAACGCCATAGTCAAATTCATCCCATACTCGATTGAGCATGTTGGGTGTCCCTGTACTCACGGCTCTTTTAATGTGATTTTGGAGATCATCCAGTGTTGTGGAACCAACGACAAATGCTCTGAGCTGTTGAAGGTTCACTGCCGACAAAAATCACGTTGCACAGTTATGACAAATTCACTCTTATTAAAGTGGAGAACGCAAAACGCTTTCTGTTCAGGGGTCACATCTCCTGCAGACTGAAGGGAGCCATCTTCTGGTGACAGTCAGAAACTCTACGACCCCCTCTTTCAATTGGTATGTGATTGATTCCTAGGCGCCTCACCGTTGTAAAAATATGGCGCTTTGAAATCGGATTAATCATTTTGAATCACCCTGTATTTTAAGTGCAGACATGAGAACTGGGAAATGTAAATGCAGACATTTTGGAAATCAGGGACCAAGACAGTCAAAGTGATTTTTCCTCTTTGTGTTAATAATAAAACACACAATTCTGGCAAGCAACATGACAAGGTCATGTCAGAAAAACAGCAGGTACACTTTTTGTTTCTCAAGGTACAAACAATGTAAATGTACCCTCAAAGGTACCACAATGGTTTGAAGGACCAACTGTGTACCTTACATAAGTTTTTCCCATGGGAAAAGTAAGTATTTGTACCTTTTCAAAACCTAATGTTGAAACCTAGAACAAAATTAAAAGTCTGGAGACAAGACAGGCTATTTGAGGTCAACACCAGTTAGAAAACAGAACTGTAATGGAAAATGGTGCAATTATGTTCCCTGACTAAAGGTACTGAGATGTACCCTTAAGGTTACCACCCCAGTGACAAAATGGGGAACTGCCCCAGTGACAGTTCAGTATCAGACAGTTCAATTATAATGAATTATAATGAAAAAAAAGTACAATTCCAAGGACAAATATCAAAATGAAAAAAAAAAAAAAAGAAAAAGAAAGAAAAAAAGGAAAAAAAAAGAAAAAAAAACACCTCATAAGAGACTTTTATTTTCGGACGTCTTCTCAAGGCCAGCATGCTTAAAAGCTTGTGGTTGTTGTGTTACTCATTTTCAGGCTGTGTCACCATTTTTTCGTATCCTTTTAGTGAGGAAGCTCAAAGTGATTAGACAAATATAAAAAAAAGACTTTTCCTTTCGGTCTGATATCTCGAAACCAACATACCAACATGTTTATAACCTTTTGTTTTTTTGCAGTCGTTTCAGTACATCACACACGCAGACTTTTATTCGTATCTTTTTAGCGAGTGAACTTTTAGCTGATTTGCTGCATCTTCACACTAACCGGAGAGTCTTTTAGTTTGAAGAAGACCCGATCAGCAGCCATTTGCGTTATGAGGTGCTGCTGTTGCTTCTTGCTTCGTAACTGCAAGGATCTTGTCAACAAAACGTGAAATGGGAAAATCGTATTTACAGTAACGGCCAGATGCTTGTATTACATTTGTAGAGTTTTATTGAAAGAAATGGATGAAGAAAGCACGTTCAAGCTTTTAATCAAGCTAACTCAGGATGGACATCTGAGTATGCTTAAAGAGCAGATAGAGGGAACAAGCGGGGTTTACTTTAAGCAGCCTATAAATGCACATTTTGGGAAATCTGGAGATACACTATTGCATTATGCGGCCAGGCACGGGCACTTCGATATCCTGAGGTATTTCATTGAGGAACTGGGCATGGACGTTGAGTTGTACAATAATGATTACAAGAGAGCTTTACACGAGGCTGCCTCCATGAGTCATGAGCAGTGCGTTCAGTATCTGATCGACAGAGGAGCACAAATCGACTGTCTGAAGAAAGCAGACTGGTGAGTTCAACTTGTTTGTGGTTTATCTATGAGAGGCTATACTCTAAGGCATCCACGTAGCTCCTTCGATAGCTCAGTTGGTAGAGCGGAGGACTGTAGAGGTAAAGCTGTAATCCTTAGGTCGCTGGTTCGAATCCGGCTCGAAGGACATGTTTTTCCGAAATGGCCAAGCTATGAAGTGACGTTGGGCGCAATATCGGTGTGTTTTATAGAGCAATATTGTTATTTTAGGGGATGTAATATGCACTACTGACGTTTAAAACGTTTTCTTTCTAAAAGGGATTTCTCGCAGTACAAGTGCTTATTAAAGCAAATATTTTACTGTCTCAATAAATGGCTGTTCAGTCCATTGGTCTTTGCCATTTGCCATCTTAGTATTTACACTTTATTATCATTTAATCTTGTCATTTGTATAACTGTAAATATCTTCGTATAATTGTATGTATTTTTAGCTAGATTCAGCTCGTTTTAGCATAGTGCAACTGTTTTCATTCAAGGACATTTGCAGGACGTGTGTTGGCAATTTAATTATTTAGGCACAGGAAAAAAAACTGTAAACACGTTGATTTAATTCAAACGTCTCGCATTAGACAGCTTTAGGCCTACAGTTAGATACCGAACATACTCTTTTTAAAGGAGTACGTCTGTTCGGGCTAATATACGCCATCCGGACTGCACGGTCGTTTAGCCGCAAGCCTTCGATAGCTCAGTTGGTAGAGCGGAGGACTGTAGAGGTTACATACGGCCATCCTTAGGTCGCTGGTTCGAATCCGGCTCGAAGGACTTCTTTTGAAAGACAATGTAACACCAGATTCGGGCCATGAACTCGAAGTCGAGCGTGGGTTCATAAACGTGTGATTTAGTGGTGGCAAAATGATATGGTATTTCTCTTTTTTGATAATGACAATGTTACATTTAGTAGTCATGTAGCGACTGTGTGGCAGTCAGAACGCTTATTCCCTATGGGCCATTCACAAGATTACTAGGCTGTGGAAGAGCAGATTACCCTCAGTATTAAGTGCCAAATCAGAGTATAGGGTTTGGACTGATTATTTAAGTAAATTAAGATTAAGTAAATACAGTGTAAGGATACTTTTCCACATGAAAAGTGCACACATATTTAGTAAAAAACATAATAGTAAGTAAAAGGAATGCCTTGACCATTTACTTGACCTGAAATTTTTTTCTACCCTGTGCCAAGCCAGTGCTTGGAGAATGCAGACAAACATATAATCTGTATTTCAGGTTTTCTTGAAGTATACTACTTCACTAATTGGCTAAAACCATGTAGGGACCACGAAATGTCTGGGATGTATGAATTTCTCTTCTTGGCACCTTGAGTGCTATGAATATTGCCACTATACAAAACAGTGTGAAACTGTGTGCAATGCTCATTATCTGCAAAAATGTGAAGGCTGCTTAAGTCAGCTCACCTATGCTATCCTGGCTGGATGATAATTTTCCTACAAGCTTTTGATGGCTCGGCTGGTAGAGGGGAGAACTGTAGTGGTTTTATATGGCTATCCTTACGGTGTTTATTTGAATAAAAGGAAGCGTGTTGAGCTAGAGGACAAAAAAACACATTACAGCATATTACAGTGGATAGCCTCAATATAATCTGTTAGTCAAGCAATATATAGACCCAGTAAAGTGCACTGACTTGATTTAAATTTGAACACTGGTTCCACACCGTATAGTTTGTCTTTCACGTTGTCTTTGATTATGTGCTACAAAGTGGTGGGCATTGTACATTTTCCACATTAATGTGAATGCTGCATGAGTCAGTGCACAAAGACCAGATGGTTATAACATGCCTTCGATAGCTCAGTTGGTAGAGCGGAGGACTGTAGTGGTTGTAAAAAGCTATCCTTAGGTCGCTGGTTCGAATCCGGCTCGAAGGATCCGTTTTGAGCTGGAGGGCTAGTCACTATATGGATCCCCAGGATTATGATTGTTAAAAAAGCACTCGGTATCTGCACGCGGATAATTAGGGAATCCCAGTGTTTCACTTTTTAAATATCATATTTTGGCAAAACGTGATCTGTATTACAAACAAATCATTTGCTGGATTTTGAACGCCACTTAAGACAGTTCGCTCGGGCCATCCGGACCACGTGGGAATTCCTCTTTAAGCCTTCGATAGCTCAGTTGGTAGAGCGGAGGACTGTAGTGGTTGTATACGGTAATCCTTAGGTCGCTGGTTCGAATCCGGCTCGAAGGAACTGTTTTGAGCTGGACTAAAAAGACAGCAGCACATTAGAGCCAATACTAAAAGGAGTTTACTTGTTGGGTTTCGAGTGTGTGTGTAAGTGTAACCCTTTTAAAAAGTAAACGTAGGTGCGTTCATTTATCTTTTTTATTTGATCTGTGTCATTGTCTTGTATGATTTTAAATAAATACTCATAGATCCTTCTACTCCTGTTAAGCTTTATTACCTGTCTGTTAAGCACAAGAACATTTTTGACATTTTTCAGTCTTTGGCATAATTTAAAAATGCCTGTTGTTCTTTACGTTGTATGCACATTTCATGATGAATGGACTAAAAGAAATGACCCAAAATGACTTGGAAAAAAGTCTGGTTCCATTGACTTACATTAAAGGTAAAGTAGGTTTTTTCCTTTTCCTGTAAAGTTATCATTTTGGAGATACGAGGTTTTCTTCCAACAACAGTGATATACTAGACTTAACTCAAATCCAAATGCAAATTTGAAAATGCTAAATCAATTGTGTATTTACAATTGCATTTTCAGTGTGAGAGTGCATTATTTGCATCAAATACAAAATGTGTATTTGCATTTGCATTTCTGGGTATCAAGGCTGTTAAAGTTAACATGGAAAAGCAAAGTAATTTTGATATTTTCGTAGTCTTAACGGTCTGATTCAAACGCTGTGGGCGGGGTGGCGGGATGTACTTTTTAGTGCGGGACGTGTTTTAAGAGGAAGTGGCGAAAAGTCTAAACTCTAGCGGTTCTGGAGCATTAGCGACCGCTGCTAGTGAGATTTTAACACTAGCTAACTAGGCTGAGGATAATTCTGTTGGAAGTGATTTTTGTGTGGGATGTAACTGACTAGGAGAGCCAATGTTGGTGACATTAGTGATCAGCTTTGGGCAGAGACTCACAGGACTGTCAGAGGGACAATGGTCATGGATTTACACTGCCCTTCACATTTTAGTGCTTTAACTGCTTTAACACAAACATTACAAATAGTCAGGGGCTGTCAGCGAGCTGGGTGGCCTGGTTTTCCAAGATTATCTTATTGCATTTTCATTTTGGCAGAGATAAGGTGCCACAATGAGAAAATGCAATTGCAAATGGGTGACTGTTTTATCTTTTTTAATATGTCAAAGTCAGACCATTAGGACTACGCAAATGAAGTGTTAAAAGCACTTTGCTTTTCCATATTAACTGTGACAGCCTTTATACCCAGAAAAGCAAATGCAAATACACATTTTGCATTTGAATTTAAATCATGTCTTAAATAATGCACACTCACATTGGAAATACAGTTGTGAACAAACACCTGAGTTAGCGTTTTCAAATTTGCATTTGAATTTGAATAAAGACTGGAATATGCTGCCATAGTATGAAATGTGCTCTATAAATACAGATATTCAAATAATTATTATATCATTTTCATACTCATCAAACCATTCAGTGACACCTATGAAGATATAAATGTTTCATCATAGGATAAAAATCAACCAGAATTACTTTGATTTGCATTGATAGTTCCCTATAACAGGACAAGTGATTACAAACTGTGCCGGCAAAATGCCCTTCACGGCATAACATAGCCACCAGACCCCCTTATAAACATCAAATATTCGTGTCCATACTGTTCTCTAGGCCACACATACACTCACCGACTTCGGGAGAATATGGTGAAGGATGACTCATTTGACCACAACACTTTTTTTGCATCTCTGTAGACCAGCACATGGTTTTCACACCACTGAACTCTCAAATGTTTTCTCTCAAATGCATTTGTCTTTATAATGAACGGTTGGTTTATACAGTAATGCCCTACTGTAATATCCCTCTCTATTTAGTTGTCAGCAGACTGTTCTTTCTAACACTGTCTGATCACGCCTTGCATTGACATACTCAGCCACTTGGAACTAGGAACAGCTGCTCTCCTATTCTTCCTTACATGTTGTACTAATGCAGAAGCACTGTACACTTTGACCATAATGCCCAACCTAATTTACTTATGTACTTCCCATAGAGCTAAACGCAGATGTTGCTTTAGTCACTGTTTCTACTGAAACACTAGCCATTTGAGTTGTCTGTGTGACTGCAGCTCCTGCAATGTCCCAATAATGAACTGTCATTTACATATTCGAGGTCTGCTCAGCATTATAAACATGCCACAGAGCACAATGGGATCTTAATTGGTTGATTATATCGTGCAGTACATCTGACGCATTCGCCATGATGTTTTCCACTCATTTATTCAGGTTTTTCTTTTAATTATCACGTCTGTGTGTGCATGCATGTGTGTACGAGTTTAAGTTTAGCTACAGTGAAAACAGATCACGGTGTTCAGATGGGGGAAAATAAGAATTCTCCCTTAATGTGCAGAGCAGAGGACCATATCTGCGTTCAGACTCTGTAGGCTAGGCTCGCAAATGAAGTTATGCAAGAAGGGAAAAGAAAAGATAAATTCAGTATAAACTGAAAATTATAAGCATTTCAAACAGTTACAACAACTGGTGCTGGTGTTTAGTTTAAAAAAAAACTCCATTTAAGGTGAGAGGTTTATTTTTTGTCTTGGGGCACCATAGCTAGCATAGCCTGCTTACCTGAGGGAATTTTCTGGAATATTCTCGAGCATAGTTTCAGTTTATAAGAAGAAACTTAACTTACCGAACCAACTTTCTTCAAATTCTTGATGACCTAACGTTTTCAGAGTGAATTTAAAAAAACATGTCGACTTTAAACCTTTATTTTAATCTCGTATTAATCGTTCTTATTAAATTCTGGCTTTTAATTTACATACGTTTTAACGTTACCATTGCTGGTTGCTAAGGCGAAAGCGGGCGTTGGTTGCTGCGAGAGAGATAGTGGGGAGCGTTGATTGGCTGAATCCTAAGACGACTGTCTGATTGGTTAAAAAGTTAAAACGTGTAAATACATGTGAAAATAAATAAATAAATAAAACAAAAAAAATATTCACTGTGAAAAATAAAAAGAGAAGCTGACATTTCAATGCAAATGTAGATTATACACTCCTTAAAAAGATGTCTCTAAGGGTTCTTTAGTAAGGACAATGGTTCTATATAGAACCACAAACACTCAAAGAACCATTCCATGCTTAAATGTTTTTTTTGCATGGTGGAATTGTTCTTCAGATTGAAGTTATGTGGTTCTATATAGAACCTTTTTAGAAATGGTTCTATATAGCATCAAAGGGTTCTGTTAATGTTACAGTGCCAAGATATTGTTACGATGTCAAGCTTATAACAGAAGAACGCTTTTTGGTGCTATAAAGAACTGTTTTCAAAAACGTTCTTTTTGAAGCATGCAATTTTTTTTTTGTTCATGGTTTTATGTAGAACCATTATTTTTATTAAAGAACCATTGAAGAACCATCTCTTTTAGGAGTGTAGTAGCAGTATTTAGTTGGGCTTGTACTCACTGCCTTTATCTCTCACCTTTTTTTTCACTAAATTTAAACCGGGGCGTCAGCAGCATCATATCAAATGAGGCACAAAATAATTTCAGAATCTGAACTCTGACTCTCTTAGGACTCCTCTCATGATGGCCTGCACCCGAAGGGACCTTGGGGTTATTAAAGTGCTTCTGGACCACGCTGCCGACCCAACTCTCCACAATAAAGATGGCTGGAACTCATTCCACATTGCGTGCCGAGAAGGTGATCCAGCTGTGATTGAGCATCTCCTGCTGGTCAGACCGGAGGTGTGGAGGACAGAGAGCAAGACCCGTAGGACACCCCTGCACACTGCTGGTACTGCTGGCTGCGTGGCACGTGAACAACAGCAGATAATTTACTTTGATTGAGATTTGTACAAAATATCATTTTGTAAGTGTAATAAACATCTACATGGTCTTAAAATATTATTACAAACAGCAGGAAAAAATGCAATGAAAAATGCATAGTGAAGATTCAAATCATCTTCAGATAACAAGCAGTTGTAATATTTTGTAAGATTTGTAGATTTTTTAGAACAAGTGGCTGTATAGTAGAGGTTTTATCACAGTTACGTTACCCTCCCTAAAATTTATTTATTTGTTTGTTTGTTTTTTTAAATCTAATTGTGTGTTCTGAACAATATTGCACAGGCAATGAGCATTTTTTATAGTTTAGTTATTAAACTAATACACACTTTTTTCTTTCTTAGAATCTGATTATATCCCCTTTTCTTGTGCCCCTATGCAACTATGTTAGTGTCTTTGTTTCTATATCTTTTCTAGCCATGCATGGCTGTCTGGAAGTAGTCAAGATCCTTCTTGAGAAGTAAGTGGATAAGATTCTACATGTGCTTGCATGTCATGATTGTGCACATTCTATTTGAGGTATGTTCATGTCTGTTATATGTACAACAAAGCATCTTTGAAACTTACAGTGGATGTTTTTTTTTTTTGCTACCCAGATGTGCTTACAAACCGGACGAGAAGGACAGCTGTGGAGTTACTCCATTCATGGATGCTGTCAGAAATGGGCATCTTGGGGTAGCCAAGCTGCTACTGGAGAAACACCAAGTAAGCTAAAGACAGTCTAGGTGGCAATTGTAATGGTGGCTCAGTTACAAAATAATACATCACTAAGTGGTTCTGGTTGTTGTCTGTGTGTGTGTGTGTGAAAATAGGCCTGCCCCACTGCTGTAGATATTCTGGGAGCGCAGCCCTTACACCAAGCGTCTGTGACAGCCCAAGAAGAAGCTTTATGTTTCCTCGTACAGGACCTCAGCGTTGATGTGAACGCAAGAGCCACAAAGCTGGAGCTCACAGCTTTGCATTATGCTGCTAAGGTTCTCTCTGTTTGGTCACTTTCTAAGTTAACAAACAAACATTACTGCCATAAAGCTGAAATTCAAACCTCAGAACATCTCTATATCAACAGATCAAAACCAGTAATTATTATATAGTGTAACGATGATCTTTATGGTACAATGCTTTTGGAAAACTCATGTTTATTTTCTGGTGTTTATTTTCAGGAGGGTCACACGAGCACCATAAAAACCCTGCTGCAGCTGGGTGCCGATCTTCATGCAAGAGATAAGAAAGGAAGATCAGGTACAAAGTGACACCTGGGTACCCACAGCAAATCCAAAGGGCTTAAAGGGAATTCCACCAATTTTTAAAAATTTTGGTATAATGAGCTGTAGTAAATTAATTCAGAGTGTTCTGATGTGAAATGGTTCATTGTAGAGAAATGTACAGTCTCAGATTTCTTTACTGTGGTGGTGACAGAAACCAAGGGTCATGAGGTCTAGAACACAAAAATGCAGCCATTTTATGTGCTATCCAAAATGACCAGTGAATCTAGATGTGCCTTGATGGTAAAATGGTAAAGAGGTTGCTGTAAGTTTGTCAACAATGGAGCATTTCACATCAAACCACTATGTACTGTTGTCGATGGGCCCAACTGAACTGCTGGAGAGGAACAAGGTTAATAGTTATATTGTGTTGTACTATCTAGGAAAAATGTCACAACAACTTGTTAAAAAAGAAACCATTTGTTCTCTGAAACATTCTCTCTGCTGTATTTCCCAGCTTTACACATGGCATGTATTGGCCAGCAGGCAGCCACAGCCCAGACCTTGCTGCAACATGGACTCATGGACACAGAGGACAGCACAGGCACAATGGCCAGACAGCTCGCCAAGAAACCAGACATAACCAGAGTGTTCGAGAGCCCTGAAGAGATAGAGCCTTGACAACCAGCTATGCAAGAATTTGTACTCAATAATGATTTAGCTCTTTGCAAATGTGTTATGAAATAAATCAAACATGTCCATGCAGAAAACCTGAGTGTAATCTTAGATGCATTTGTTACAAGCAGAGTTGATTATTGTAAAACCCGTTTTACAGTCCATCCTCTACAAAATGCGGCAACACAGACACTAACAAAAACAAAACAGAGAGATCACATCACTCCCATTTTAAAAGAACTGCAATGGCTACCTCAATCTTTTAAGAGTGTCTGTCTGTTTATGTTCCAACACATTATATTAGATCTGCAGATGCTGGCCTTGTGCAAACAATTTCTGTAAAATACAGAAAACATGGAGAGATTGTTATTATGCTTCTAAACTGTGGAACTCTACCTTTGAAATTCCACCTTTTACTAGACAGTCAAGCTCAGTGCACACTTCAAAGAAACATCTAAAAACACTTCTCTTCAAAGTAAAAATTCTACGTCTCTGGTATTTATCTTTTTAATCTGGTCTGTCATTGTCTTATAATCAACAACTCTGGGAGGAACCTCAAAAGACATAGGTAGATATGTATGTGCTTGACTTCTTGTAAACTTGAATTTATTTGTAAACAAGCACAACAAAGCTAGCTAACACACTACAGAATTAAACCAATGAAGTTTTACAGTTAACTGTAATGGCTTGTATGATAATTAAAACGTGCTAATTTGATCACTCTGGCCGAGGGTCCCTGGGAAGTGATAGAGAACTTGCAGAGAGAATTCCCACTCTGCAATGTCTTCCGGTTTTCTCAAACGCTAGAGGGCGGAAATAGTGAAATACATCCTTCTACTTTCTAAAATTAAAGAAACGTTCTGGGCGAGTGATTAGAAACTATTTTAGCTTTTCGTTTTTAGCCGTTGAGCGCCATTTACTTCCATGCATTGAGGACTCGCGGGCGAAGGGAAGGATAGGAAGTGGCCAGGCTCTGATTTAATGTCTTGCCATACGCGCACACAGTAGACTGCCTACTGCAGCCTGTGCATAACTTCTTGTAACATTCAGAGGCATATGGGCACCCTTTGGCTTGTAGACCACACTCATATAAAGTCATAAAATCCTCCAATGGATGGTTTGGAGGTCATTAAATTAGTGATGGGCATTCAGACTCTTCACTGAGTCAGACCAAATCGCTCAGCTCACAAAAAAAGAGCTTTCATTCGACTCCCAAACAGCTCTATTCAGTAGCATTGTCAGATTGTTCCCTAATTCAGCGTTATCATTCTTAATGATCAAAACCTTAATCATAATATAAATATTACATTATTACATTAAATTAAATATTATAATACTATAAACACTTAATAGTACTTTCACTGGATGAATGAGAGGCGTGGATCACAAGATAGGTAGACAGGAAAAATGCAAGCAAATCCATCAACGAGTCATGCACAAAGAAATGCATGAAAGACACGAAAATCTAAAGGAAAATGTTATCACTATGCAGCCACAGAAAACAGTTTAGTTTTTAAAGGCCCCTACAAAGTCTCCCAACATCTCTGGCTTCTGTGCCTCCAGTCACGTGCTGGAAGGGGATTGTCACTTTTTTCCCTAAATTTGCATAATTCAATGGTTGAGAAGATGCAAACAAAGTCATTTAGAGAGGTCTGATGTGAAATGGTGTAGAGCAGTGGTCACCAATCCTGCTCCTAGAGATCTACCTTCCTGTGGAGTCTAGTTCCAATCGGCCACACCTGCTCCAGTTAATTAAAGTCTTTACATGATCTTGATTGGCTGGATCAGATGTATTAGTGTTGGATAAGGTCTAGGTTTGAACTAAACTCTACAGGAAATTAGATCTCCAGGAGGAGGGTTGGTGACTCACTGCTGTGGAGAAATTTATTGATGCAAATTTCTTTACAGCAGTGGTGATAGAAACCAGAAACCATGTCTACAACACAAATATATTCATTTCATTTACTTTCCAAAATGTCCAGTGTATCTACACATGTCTAAGTTTTTATGTGGAATGTTGATAGTACAATAGTGGAAAATGTGAAAAAATATCTTTCTGCCATGAACAGATAAAAAGTGTTTTATACCAAAATCTTCCATTGTCTTTCCCAAAATTATCAGCATCATGCAAAGTATCTGTAACCATTTCATCTAATAGCTTTCTGGAATGTGGCTTTTAGAGGCATTACGCTCTTCAGACACTTGGTTCCTAACTCCAAGTTTCTCTGTAACTTTTAGATCAAGCCACTCTGAATCACTGTTTACATCTTGAAAATTTAATTAAGCAGAAATTTTGAAAAATTCTCTTTAAAGCCCTGAACTAAAATCCTAAACACAGTACCCAGAAAAAATTAAACAAGCCATGTCTAATATAATCTTCTTCTAATGAGAAATATAAACCCTCAACCCTTAACTATGCACAAGCTTAATTTTTCAAAAACACATTTGAAATGTTTGCTGCATTTCATGTACTGGAAAAATAGAACATAAAATGTGGCCTATTCTAAGGTTATGACACGTTTTTTTTTTCCAAGATATTTGTATTCTCAGCACATAAAAAGATTTTTTTGTAAAGAAATGCCATATTTAACCTTATGTTAACTTATTGTCATGTAGAAAATCAACAAAACATGTAATTTGACCAGGGGTGTACAAACTTCTCCATTTATAGCTATATATCCGGAGAAACTGCTAGATCAGTGTTTCTTTTTCCTGCTCCTGACAAACCCCTGCCCAGCATAGCTCCATACATTCTTTGTCCAACACACTTAATCTGGCTTATTAGCTAAATATGGAGGCAGTCATAAGGTGAATCAGGTGTACTGGGACATGGAATGCATGGAAATGTTGATCTCTATATCAGCATATGAAAGTTTGTATGTCACTTAATATTATAACCTTTACATCACATGTTTAAGATGTAAAATGTATTTAAAACATTTCACATACTTCCTGTCAAAAATTTAGACATACCTCACAGAGTGGATGTTTTCAATAATCTTAAGGATACTTTGTGCTAGGACTTAAAGCTTAAATGCTTGAATTTTGTTTTTAAGACATACAGTATATAAATAGTTGAGCTGATGCCTGTATATGAATCTATTTACAAAACAACACTTTAACCCCTTATATGGCCAGGGCTCACCAGTGGGCCCAAAGTTTTATTGCACATTTCTATAACCTACGAATAGCTTAGCCAGTTAGCATGGAAGTCCTTGTAGTTACTGAATAATAAGCCTTAGTATGTAATAAGCCTGGGGTTAAATTTAAAATACCATTTCAAGTGGCAATTTTCACCAGCAGCATACATATGTGGAGCTTCTTCAGTCCTGATGGAAAAGCATCTTAGGTGGCACTTCATGAAGGTGGTTTAGAGAACTGTGTGCAAGACTGTGTAAAGCTGCATCAAAGCAAAAAGGGGTTACTTTGAAGGATTTAAAATGAAATAATTTATTTGTTCAATTTGTCAAATCAAAGTATATATTGTACTCCACATTTTATATTTTGGATTGTTCAAAGCAGCCTTTCATATATAGACATCACGGTTTATATTCAATTAAGAAACAAAACCCAAGCTTTTAACAGTAGTGCATTTCACTAATCTTATAGATCTTCAGCAGTTGCTGACAATTTTATCTCCTTCAGATACTGAAGACAATTATAGTGCCAGTTTGGAAAAATGCCACTGTGACAATCTGTCAGCAGGACCAAGTAAGATCACAACACTGCACAAATGATGCTGACTTTTGTCAGGACTGGACCGAAATCAGACACTCGCAGATAAAGAAGAGAGGCTTTAATATAGGGCTTTGTATAGGTACAAAGGGGTAGTCTTAAACAGTCCGAGTCAGCAACAGCTAACAATAGAAGTAACAAGGGGACATACCAAAAGACGAAGTAGAAAAACAAGCAAGGATCCAAAACCGGAAACAGAGTCCAAAGAGAGAGGCAAAACACGGTGTCAAAAAGAAGCAAAGGTCTTACACGACAAAATAACACAGACAAGGAACACTTCGTAATGCTAGTGGGCTAGCCAAAACTCGGAAAAGAACTGAACAACAGGGTGTGTATGTATAGGCAGAAGCACACGTGAAAACGCTCAATAATCAGGAGACAAAGGGGGAAAGTCATGTGACTCTGGTTTGGAGTCATGTGAGAGTCTGTGGCATTATGGGAAATGGAGTCCGGTTCGGCTTGGGAGCCGGAGGGAAGCGTGACAACTTTATAATTGTGAGCATCCTCACTGGTCTGTACCTATTTTTTGCACAACTTGTCAGATTTACTTTTACTTCACTGCAAACAAACAAATTTTTAGATGCCTAATTTGTCATATTTACAAGCAGGTAAATACATTTTCCCTGTTTTTAATAGCTAATGCACCTACAATCCACATGTAAGTGTACAATGTACAGGTCAATTGAATGTAGAAAAGGATGTTCACATGACTGACCAAACATTTTTCTGGTGGATTTGTGGGAAGATGTTTGCTTCTCAGCTAGCTGTGCAGCTGAACTGGCGTGGTAAAGAGAAAATGACAAAAGAAAAAAACATAGACCATAGTACAAAAACCTGTTGTTCACCATTTTTAGCTATGTAGATTCGCTGACCACTTTATATGGAACACATATCTTGTTCGTGCACCTTCCAGTCTTCTAGCCCTTTATCAGTAGTTAGTTTCTAACCATATGGCTATTGCTGGATGAATATTTTTGGTTGGTGGACTACTGTCAACCTGGTGGTGACTTTTTGGTTGTTTTTTTCTGGTACTGTGTCAGAAATACACCCATTTCCCTACTACCATATCAGCATCACCTTTGAGAATGATACACCACCGAATTAATACCTGGTCAGAGATGGTCCTGTGGTGATCTGTTTCCACTGATGGAGAGTGTAGAGGGTGGCTGATTAATCATGAATAAGCTGTAATCTGTAATAATAGACATACATAGTGCACCTATATATTAGGGTTCTCTGCTGAGCTCAGAATTTAAATTGTAAGTTTTGTTTGTCAAAATTCTTTGTCAGTCAAATATTCAAACAAGCACACACAAACACACACACACTTTTTCTAAACCGCTTATCCTTCTGGGCTGCG